TGGTGCCATCAGCCCACCTCCACCCTGCCCACAGCCCAGAAACACTACCAGATTTTAGACAGTGACCTTTAAGTTAGGACAATCTGCCAATGTGTAGCTGGGCCTGCTACTTTCACCCCAGACCCAGAGGGGCAGTGTAAGTGAAGGGCACTGGAGCTGAAGCCTCTTTAGGTTCATGCTACATCTATGTCATGAAGCTTGGGTTAAGAGAGACCCATTTTGCCAGTAGCCAGAAATCCTGGAGAGTTAGACAATCAGGCACTATGCTGACAGAAAAGTTGGATTCTGTACCTCACAATACAGGAAATAGGATTTTCCTGCACTCCTTTCTCCAAGATTAAGTTAGTTTTTACCTACTCCTTCTCCCTTTATTTATTCTTTCTCTGTACATCCAATAATTCCCTCTGCTTATTTCCATTATTTCACCCATCTCCTGGTATTGTCATTTGACATTAGTGGATACTCTTTTCGGTTTCAGGCAACAGAAAACCCAGAGACCCTAGTCAAGCTTCCACAAAAAGAATTTTATTGGCTAGTTTACCTCAAATATCCAGAGGTAGAGTAGGCTTTAGCTCAGTTCAGCCATGTCTGGCAAAGTTTCTTTGTGGTCTTTTTGGCTGTATCCTTGGCTGACTTTCCTCCTGATCACAAGGTGGCTTCTTGAAGAAACAGCAGACTGCATGATCCCTCTTTCGCATCTAGGTAAAAAAGATTAGAAGCATCTCACAACCATCAAACAAGATTTCTGAGCTTTGTGCAAAAGACAATCACTATAGATAAGAGTGTCATAGAGGTTTATACCTTGGTTACATGCTTATTGCTAAAACAATAGCTGCTGTAAATGATTTTGAATTGCCCCTGGAGCTGGATGTGATATCCATCCAACACAAATCCTTAATCTCCTGGCTGCAACACAGTGGGAAACAGAATGGTGTTAGATAGACAAACGAAACATCCGTTATAACTATGGTGGACTTTTATTCTATCGTCTCTAGAAAGCCATGGCAACCTGGAAGATAGAGACATCTCTGTGTCTTCAGGCCCTACCTCGTAGCTGCCATAGAATCAGTATTCAATAGTCACCTGAATGAACAAATAAAATAACTGATTCTCCTCAGAAATCTATTTGTCATCAGCCATCCTGTAATTCTTAAAGCATATTGTATTTGTAATAATATTTGCACAACACCTTATTGTTCAATCCCACCCTTCGTGGTTATAATTTTTACCTATTGCTTCCTGGGTGTTTCACTTTGTTTCAACACATTACTGATTATTTTTAGAGCTGCTATTAACACAGACTTCAATTGCTGTCCTGTTTTCCCCTTGAGCAGTGAAGCAGTTGCCATGGAAACAGAATCCAATATCTCTCTCTAGAGCCTCACATCAATGCAATTTGATGTGGGGGACTAACATACTACCTCCTACCTGTATTTTATAAGTCTGAAGATCTATTACCTCAAAAGATGCAAGTCATTACTGGGTTAAGGCATACTTGATGGAGTATGGGTTTGACAGCTTGTCCAAAAGATGTATCAGAGCCCTCATCTGGAAATAATACCCTAATCAGAGTTGGAGAAAGGTTTTCATGCTTGAATCACCTAAAAATTCTAAGTCTCCAGGTAAATTTTATTTAAAGATGGGAGGAAGGATCATTTTAATTGGCACCACTCAGTCAGCACAAAGTCACAGACACATAACCTTTCTCAAAGAGCCATGTATAGTGATTACATGGGCTCTCCCCCAACCCCCGGCTTCAACCTGATCCTACACAAAAAGTGAGGTTTGAAATTGAATCCAGGTTGACTGGTAGGAGAAGAGAGGAGTAATTTCCCAAGTATCTCAGCTGAGCCAGCTCCCATCAGCCAAGGGCAATCTCTCAAAAAGTTGTAGATCTAAGCCTTAGCTTCGGTGCTCTCAGCAGCTGGGGGAAGGATACACTAGCTGTGTGGAAGACTACATAGGGAACCAACAGCTTGACTGCATATGTGTAGAAATGGTTCATCACCATGTCCTAAACTCTCAGATAAAGCAAATTTTTGTAGTGTAAAACCAAGCTTTGACTTTGTTGGCACTCCATAATCTTTTATTTTGTGACCGGATATGTTATGATGGAATTTTCTATCCTGCAGTGAGATATTTACATAGTCTATCTCTGTAGGTATATATCTGAGGGTAATCTGAGTTACCATCCCAAGGACATGGAATGGAAGAAACCAGGATGAGGTAGATGCAGGTGAGAACAAGGCAAGCAAGAGAAACATTAAAATATTAGGTTCAACTGTATCAACAGGAAACTAAAGCATAGAGACCTAAGCAAAGTGAGTAGTGAGTACACAAGGCACAGCCATTTAATCGTAAGGGATATTGAATCTTAGCAACAAAGAGATAACAGTGAGCACATGGATGAGAAACACAGCAAAAAAGGTACATGTGCAGACTGGAACAGCATTAAAGACTGAAATCAGCACCAGAAAAGAGAGGAGCCAAGGGATGAGGCTAGGCTAGAAGACAATAGTCAGGATCCCACCCTGATTTTGTTGTAGGATTCCAAAAGATTCTGTTACAGGATCTTTTTCTTAGTGCAATATTTTTCAGTTGGAGAAGCAAAAGACTTGTTTTTTGGATTTGCTTTGTTTTTGACTATCTGCTTGTTTGGTTTACAACCCTGGCCCTATCAAGATGACATTTTAATGATGAAACGGTATAATCTACTTTTGTGCTATGCCTTCTCTTCTCTGAAAAAAAGGAAGTTTATCCATGAGCTAGATCAAGCCTAATTCTCCAAATTCCGTTTGCCAGTTTTGCTCTTTGCTGTGTTAACCCTTGCCCTCATCCTAGCCTCATCCCAGCTGCTCCCAAGGAACATTCAGTTCTCAACATTTTTCTAGGAGAGAAGGAGGTCAATATTATTAGTGGAGTGTATTCTGCATACCACCAGGTTTGGAAATATTTTTTGTCAAGACATGCATAGGCTTTCTCGCACTGAATACCTACCTCCACAACAAAGCCAGCCCACACTTGGCCCAGTTCTACCTAGGACTCAGGAGCATTCAAGCTTGCCAGGTTCTCTGCAAGGTATTAGTTGGGGCTCCTTTTTTGGCTCCTTCATACTAGGCCCATTTCCAAGTGGCTGGGTATAGATCTTGTTCTTACTTGATTTGCTTTGGAAATATTTCTGACCTTCTCCTATTCTGACTCTTTCTTGGCTGCTCTGTATCTACTTAAACCCAACCCTCCACACCTGCCCCCACTTCATTCACTATGTCCGTTCTTACTGTCACACCCATTCTTATTTTCACAATCCTACTATATTTTCCTCTCTTCGTCCATTATAGAATGGCTAGACGGGCCATTGAGTGAGGATTGAATGAGGGAATGTCATAGAAAAAGAGTCAGAGGACAGCTTGGAGTGGGTCCAAGACCTTGTAGGCCATTGTGAAGACTTTGTCTTTTACCCTAAGGAAATGGGGAGCCATTGGAAGGTTTTTCAGCTAAGGAGTTAACATTGTGTAAAAATGATGGAAAAGGATCACTCTGGTTGTTATTTTAGGAACAGACTAAAATAACAGGGAGTTGGGGGGTGGGTAGGAGGGGCCACAAGAGTGAAAGCCAGAAAAACTATCTGCTGACCATCATCAAAACAATTTAGATTGAGATGATGGAGGCTTGACCCAAGACGGCCACAGTAGAGGTGATAAGATGAAGTCAGATCCAGATATATACATATATATTCAAGGTAAAAGGATTTCTTGACAGAGCGGACATAGGGTATGAAAAAAAGGATAAAAGCAAGGTTAATTCTATGGGTTTCTATCTGAAATTATTTAAACGTCTATATACTACGTCAGGAAATCATGATTGTGCCAGGCATTATCCTATGCCTTTCGCCAATCATAACTCATTTAATCCTCATAACCCTATGAGACAGATGTTATTAGTATTCCCATTTTATAGATGAGGAACTTGATACACAGGTTGCTTAAATGACTTGTGTAAGGTCCTTGTGACTGTTGTTGCCATTAACTGAGATGGATCAATGTGGGAGTGGAACAGGTTTAGAATCCTACTTTTCTACTTTTTTAAGGGCTAGAGACCATTAACTGTCCAGGCGCAGTCCACCTTTGCTTTCAGCTGCTATTAATCCATGGTATCTGTTTTTCACCTACTAGGATTATACCAGATTCTCTAGGTTGGCACCAGGATTCCCACATCTGGGTCTTCTACTGGAAATAGGGTTGGCTGGTAACATTTACCAGTCCTTCAGGGGGAAGGGGGAAGTAACATTTTCTGAGTATTTGCTGATTTCTGTGATGTAAATATTCTCACCATAGCCAATTTCAAACAATAGGATTTTTTTGAATGTGGAATTTGGAAGAGATGCACACAATTTGCCCTCAGCTACAACATACCACTAATTGGAGCCTTGATAATAATTTTAAAGCACTAGTAACTATCTAGCAATCATAAATCGGGGCTCTCAAATGAGAGGGAGAATTTGTGATTGGAGATATAGTCAAACTAGTTGAGAAAAATAATTTATACTTGAACTAGGAGTTGAAGTTGAGATGATAAAGCAAGAATAGAATAAATCCAAGAATGGGGAAAAATGAAGGGGCTATATAACTATAGGAGAGGTCAATGGTTGAAATAGCTGATTTTCAATTGATAGCACAAAGGTCTAGAGCAGGGATGACTAGAATGTAAACCTGAAGAGACTTCAAAGACAGTTCAGCCAATCAGAAGTCTCAGAAATAGGCAGAGGAATCAGAACTTCAAAAGCAGGCAGTAGCAAGAGATACTCAAACACAGTGTCAACCAAATGAATGCTCTACAAACCATCTGTTTCTGAGTCTCTGAAAGGCATTTAAAAAAATATTTCTGATGCAGTCTGGAGCCTGCTTCAGATTCTGTGTGTCCTTCTCTCTCTGCCCCAACCCCGCTTGCTCGCTCTCTCTCTCTCTGAAAAATAAACATTAATTTTTTTTTAATAAATAAAAAAATATTTCTGATGCAATGTGCCTGGGTTGGGTAAGGACCAAGCTCCGTAAGTGATTTATGTGTAACAGTATGTTTGAGAACCTGGTAAATAATAAAGGCAGAAAGAGTCAGGTTATCAAGGCATCCCAAGAGCAAATAAAAGACATCTGATTTGATATTGGCATTTAGGACAAGCTTTGCAGCAATGCTTGCAAGGAATAGGACAAAGATAATACAAAGCCAATTAATGTGACACACAGGTTAGAACGGATGCGAAGACCTGAACACCGAGGGACACATGAGGCATCCTTAGCTGAAGTACACAAAAGCTCCTGCACACATCACCAAGAAGTTTTTAGCTTCTTAGCAGTGAGTGCCAAGAGAAAATTTTATTCAGAGAAATGACACTACCATTTCACCTGCACAATAGAGTGGAGGACGGAATGCAAAAAACAAGACTTAGTAAGAAGACTAATGAGGCAGCAAATCAAGCATATGATGATAAAGGCATGAAGAACAGTGGTGACAATACGGATGGAACAGTGAGGTTGGTTGTAGAAATATTTTAGTTAGAACTCACATAGGATATTTGATTGGGTATGGAGAATGAGGAATAGGCAGAAACGGAAGAGGATTCCCACATATCCAAAACGGGTGATTCAGCAAACACTTCCATTCTGGAAGACAAGCACCTAAGGAAAAGAGAGATGAAAAAGTGTATATGCATCAAGACTCTTGATTGCAAATGAAAGAAAATAACTCATTTGGCTTAGGGAAAAAAATGACTTTTCTTGCTGCATGGAATCTAAGAAAGGATTAAACCAACAATAGGGTAGTGAACTGTGAGAGCTATGGTGCTGTCTTCCTAGAATATATTTTGATATCCATTCTAATAAGACTTTTATGTTTTGATTAAAGCTATGTCTGACCTACCCACGCACATAGAAATAGCATAGGAACTGGATCTGGCCAATCATAGCACCCATGCTTTTGGCCAGAGTGATTAGCTCAGAGGTGGTCCTAAGACCTGAGCTAAGCCAATCAATCAGGGGACCTCAGGAGACTTTTCATTAACACTAACAGAGATTTTCTCCCTAGAGCTTTTGTCTTTGGGGTCACAGTTTAGGATAGATGAAAGACTGGAGCAGCTTACAACTGTCTTCCTCAGCAGCCTAGAAAAAGCCTACTGGCGGGGGTTTAACTGAGACCAAGTCAAAAGCTGAGGCAAGCAGAGATGCAAGATGGATAAAAAGAGATCTGGCAGTTCTGAAGTGTCAGTTCCAGAAATAAATAGAGGCCTGGTTAATGCAGTTATTTCATTGATCATATTAGCTACTGTAAGCTCCTTCCCAACCATATAAGAAAATAAATTCCTTTTTTCTCCCCTAAGCTAGTTAGCAATGGGACTCTGTAATACAAAATATACTATTCTCCGTTAATACCTCCAAAAGGCCAGAGATACAACTGGGCCTCAGGGAAACTAGATTCAGGGACTGAAATATCACTAGTCCTCCCCCCTTTCATCAATGCCTCTCTCTGGATATTGGTTTCATTCTCTCTCACTACAGACTACTTTTACAGAGTTGGAAATGTGGCCACAACAGCTCCCTAGTTTCACTTTTCATAGGTTCCATCCCTATTTTTGAACTTGGTTCTATCTCTATTTTTAAACTAGGTTTTTATCTCTATTTTTGCACTTGGACGCACAGAGAGTAAATGGCAGTTTTACTCTCTGCCTTTTACTCTCTGTGCGTCCAAGTTCAAAAATTCTAAGAAAGGATTCTAATTGACCCACCTAGTGTCATATAATAATAGATCAGTTCATTGTAACTAGGGTTTTTAAAGACTATGATTGGCTTAGTTTAGGCCAGGTTGACATCCCTGAACCAACCAAATGAGGCCAGCGGGGCAGACTCACGTAAGAAAATAGCAACGCTCAAGGAAGCTCAAGGAGGAGACAGAGGAGTAATTCTGAAAAGAATTGCAGTACTAGTTCTAGAAGAAGCAGAAACATAGCTGTCAGTGTCCCTTCCTGGAAAGATGTTTTAGACATTGTTGAAGTTGAGGCCCAATTCAGGGCCAAAAGAAAGCCAAGGAAATGTGGCCAGTTAAAATTATCAGTCAAGTCTACAGAGGACAATTTATGGATATAATTGATTCTGACGAAACAGATCACCCCAGACTATAAACTGCAAATGTAAACTATAAACTATATATAATTTTACCCTAAGATTACTCAAAACTCCAGTTTTCAAAACAATCATGTGGTTATGTGCTATAGTAGAGTGACATTGTGAGGTAAGAGAAGAGAAAGTGTTGGGAATCACAAAGGCAGGACCTTAGGAACAAAATATCCTAATTTCGATCTCCCTCGTATTGGGCATGAGACAAGGTCATGGACTGGCAGAATCTCAGGACTCCAAGATTTTTGGTCTGAACAACTGGAATAAGGTTGCCACTGGCTAAGAAAGGGAAGATTACAAGAAGGGCAGAGTGGGGGTAAGTTTGAGTTTTCTCTCAGACCTTTAAGTGGAGTTTTCAGGTAAGCTATTCAAAATATGGGACTGGATTTCAGAAGAGCGATCTGGGCCCTCCAACATTAAGAGGTCAGGGATGAAATGAGAAACCACCCAAGCAGACTGATGAAGGAGCCTTCGGAAGATAGGAGACAAACCAGGAGAATGTGGTGTTCTGGAAGCCATATCAATGAAAAATAGCAAAAAGAAAGGAAAAATCAACCATGACAGATCCTGCTGAAGGGTCACGTAAATAATGACAGAGACATAATTGTTGGATTTAGCAATGTGGCTGCCGCCAATGATGTTGACAGTCCCCATTGAGTGATAGAAGCAAAAGACAAAAGTTACACTTTGACCATGAATGCCAGCAGAAAATGCCAACATTAAATTGGATGCAGTTCTGGAAACTAGAAGATGCATAAGACATCTCAGAACTCTTGACTCTTCATGTTCATGTTGTTCCATAAGCCACACCCTTCCCCTATAGCCAGCGACACCATGAGAGAGAGAAATCAGGGAACTGAGAGGCCATTTGATAAACTGGGCACTATTTGTGTGGCTTTTATTTTGCTAAGAGAGACCAAGGATTAGATAAAGCTTCTGCTTAAATGAATAGATTGGACTCGGCTTTTAATTAATTTTTTATTCCTTCTCATGAGCAGTGGAGAGAAAAATCAAATCTACTAAAGATTAAACTAAAGGAACTACATTTATATTCATATTGGATTTTTTGCCTGTGCTAAGTGTTTCACCTTCATGGGTCCTTTTTAGTATGGTTTTTCCAGTTTTATTGAAGTATAATTAACAAATAAAAATGGTGTGTATTTAAGGTGTACAATGTGATGATTTGACGTACATATACATTGTGAAATGATTACCACAATCAAGCTAATTAGCATATCCATCACCTTACATCCAGTTACCTTTCTGTGCGTGTGTGTGGTGAAAAGACTTAAGGTCTCTCTCAGCAAATTTGAAATATATAAAACAATATTTTAACTAGTCACCAACTATACATGACATTTCCAGAAGTTATTCATCTTATAACTGAAAGTTTGTACCCTTTGACCAACATTTCCCCATTTTCCTTGCCACCCTCTCACCCCGGCCCTGGCAACCATCATTCTGTACTGTGCTTCTCTGAGTTTGAGTTTTTTAGATTCCACATACAAGTGAGATCATGCAGGGTTTTTTTTTTCCCTTTCTGTGACTGGTTTATTTCACTTAGCATAACATCCTCTAGACTTATCCATGTTGTCTCAAATGGCAGGATTTCCTTCTTTTTTTACGGTTGAATTCTCTTCCATCACTATATATATATATATATATATATATATATATATGTATATATGCACACACGCACGCACACACACACATAATATTCCATTATATATCACATTTCTTTATCCATTCATCTGTTGACAGACACTTAGGTTGTTTCGTTGTTTCCCTATGTTGGCTATGCTGCAGCTAACATAGGAATACATATCTCTTTGAGATACTGATTTAATTTAATTTGGATATATACCCAGAAATGGGGTTGCTGGATCCATCATAAATTTTCATTAATACACTTTGCACATCAGATGCATAGCTAATGGTTTACAATTTTTTTCAAATATATCTAATATTTTCCTTGTGATTATTTAGCAACCGTAAAGCTATCTCTTACTAGTGGTTCTGACCCATGAAATTGAATTACATCCAATTTTCATCCTAAAGGGAGAAATCAATATGATAAGCTTGAAAATGAGACATCTACCTGAAAAATACAAGGATAGTGGTAACATAGTAAAAATAGGAGGACTCATAAGTCAGAAACCAAAAAAAATCAAGATGTAGCTGATTATATCAGTGAAGGAAGCAAGCTTAGAGAATTTTCGAGTATGCGTGTCAAGACACATAGATGTATTAGTTCTTTACCTGTGTCAGATACTGACTTGCATGTGCATTTCAGGTCTATGTAGTCAGAAAAAGGCACAAATCTCACGATATTTTGAAAATTATATTGAAAACTAATAACTCCAAGTACTGAAATCACAGACATTTTGGCTTACAACTGCCACTGTCACTTACTACAGCTAAGTGATTCTGAGCAAGTTACTCTTTGAACTTGGGTGTCCTCATCCATAAAATGGAGATAAGACTAGCATGTGCCTCCTCAAGGTGTTCTAAGTCTGGAACAAGATAATGAAGATAAGGGTCTTATGTGCCGTGCCTGCCCAAAGTAAATGTTCAATAATTATTATTTGTGTTGTTTTTATACTCCCTCCAGAAGGCTTTCTTTTAGAGCCCCATCAGTGCCTTTCTTTCCTGACTTAATTCTCTACCTCACTTAGAGCTCTTGCTAGATTTCATCAATGATATGCTCATCAGCACCCCCGATGATCTTTCTCCTTTGTCATTCCACCATAAGTATTATGCTGACTTTCACCTTGTGGAACACTGTTAAAGAAATATCACATGGTCAGACCAACCAGCAAGGTATGAGAGGCCATATATGTTCATTGGAGGGCATGTTAAAGATTATTTATGCAAAAGGATTTCCTTTTAGCTAAGATTTGAGTCAAGAGATTTTAAATTTCTGAAGAGTAAAATTAAGCAAAAACTTTGAATGTAGCACTATAATAAGTTTTGGTCTTCTAAAGATGTAGCCTTCAAATTACCTAGACAAACTGTTCCTTTGTTTTTAGAAAATCAACAGGTGATCCCTTTAGCTATATAAATGTAAGGCAAGTTCTTTGTTCTTGACAAAATTGTGGCACTCTGTAGCTGAAGTCAAGTGTTGTAGTTTGATCCGTCATCATGCAAGGTAGGATCAGAGTTAGATCTGTGAGAATACGGACTTCATTTCTATTATTATTATTATTATTATTATTATTATTATTATTATTACTACTACTACTACTGGTTGACTTATTTCTCTGATTTTTTGTTTCCTTTTTGCTTGTTATGTTTTTGAGGATTGTTTGCAAGAGATGAGGCACAGAAGAGAGAAGCAGCTTTCCTGAAAGACTTAGCATGAACAGAGTGCTCTAAGACCCAGAAGATATCATAGTGAGAAGAGGCATCCCCTGAGGTCCATATAGAACCATTCAATGCTCTGCTCCCTTGGTGAGCAACAGCTATGAGAACATGGCTAGGGTGCCACCTGCTCATCAGTCACAGCAAGAGGAGGTCTTTCTCAGACGACTTGGATGGTAGTGATTGTTAGCCTGGGGAAGCTAACACAAGAAAGGAAGAATACGAAGATGTCACACTGGGAGTGTGAGCACTTGGGAGGCTCCCTTTGGAGATTGCCAGACATAATTGCAAGACTCTTGGATGCTGAGGTCTTGTCAACATACTGTGGGAGGCATTGTAATTTGGTCATTAAAAATAAAAGAGGCTTAATCTTACATACAAAGACTGATGAGGATTTCTCCCAACATCCTTACACTACATTTTTTTATTAGATACAATCTCTTCAAGTGTCTTGAACAAGATTACCCAGGAAGAGACAGCAACTTAGGCCCCAATATTTTAAACTATAGGAAGTTGTAATAATAGCAACAAACAACGCAAAACAAAGGAAAAATCTTCTCTACCATTCATCAGTCCCGAATCAGAACTGTAGATAAAGCCAAGTGGAAATTTATCAGAAAACAACATTTCTCCCAAATATATGCTGCAGCCATAAAGTGTCATAAGAGTGCAAATATTGGAGCATCTACTGATTTCTTACTGAGAAATCTTTTTCTCTAAAATCATAGACTATCAGAAACACTTTTGTTTGAAATGATTCAGTAGTAATAAAACATCCCACTCTTGTCTGGAAGAGTTCAGCTGTGACACAGCGAAGCAGCCTTGATTTACAGGCCACGTGCAGAGCTTCAGATAGCAGGTCTCTGCAAATAACACTTGACATCTATTTTAACTTTCTTTCCAAGAAAGGTCCACTTTAGAGGCACCTGGATGGCTCAGTTGGTTAAGTGTCCAACTCTTGATCTCAGCTCAGGTCTTGATCTCAGGGTTGTGAGTTCAAGCCCCAACTTGGGCTCCTCACTGGGCATGAAGCCTACTTAAAAAGGAAAAGAAAAAAAAAAGGTACATTTCACAGTCCAGAACTGATATTGGTCCCTTTACATACTGCCCATCAAAACACTGTTGCATTTACACTGCACCCAAACTCCAATGTTTGGTAAAATCCTTAACTCTTTTCCTTCCTTTGCTGAAACATCCCACAATTCCTTTGTTGTGCTGTCTCCCACATCTCAATGAGTCTGTACATCTGGCTTATTTAGTGGAAGGTTTGTCCCATATGGTCTCAGGCTGATTGGGCTAGGAAAAAAACATGTCCCACATTTTAGAGTCTCCTTTAAGCACATTGATCTGTCTGTATTTTATCCTATTCCATAAGTGGAAGTAAAGAAAATAACCTAATTGCAAAACAAAGTATGTTTATAGATAAAAGTTTCCATATTATAAACATAGAAAGGTCTTGAGACCAAAGAGGAAAAAAATCAGACTTTAAAATGAAAAAAAAAAAAAAAAAAACAGAGTTGGTTTCCTTTCACTCTACTAAAATGTGGTCTGTGCCTCTTAGAGTACAACAATGGTCAAAAAGAGGGGTTTTTCTTCTTACTAATATAATGAAACAAGTAATATGACAACGACCACCGTATCACTTGAGTGATACTGAAAACTTTGAAATATGAACCTCAAAAACCTCTTCCCAGTCCTCATTCTTGGCCTATGACCTTGTTTTCTATCTCATTGAAGCAGAAAAAAGTGAAAAGCCAGAAAAGAGTGTGTCAAATTCCCACTTCTCACTCTTTTGCAATTGCACTGATACACTGTTCCTATCAGTGACTTCTCTGCACCTAACAAGGGCTATTCCCTCTGCTTCTGTGCTAGATCCCATGTGCTTGTGCCCATGCAAGGGCATTATTTCAGTAATTCTCTTCCCGTTTTCCCTGGCAATCAGCATCTAAGTCAGCCCCCAGTGATCCTCAGCTCCTGGTATCCATATGCCATTTACGTAGTCTCCTCTCTCACTGGATCAGGGACGAACTGTGTGACCCATAGAATACTGCAGAAGCAATGGTGTGTGATCTCAGAAGCTAGGTCATAGAGGACAATGACACTTCCACCTTTTCTAATTTCTCACACTAGGGAAAAATGCACCATGTCATGAGAACATTCAAGCAGTCCCACGGTGAAGCCCATGTATAGCAGAACTGAGGTCTTCAACCATTAGCTGGACCCAACTTGACAGTCATGTGAGTAAAGCAACTTGAATGTAGACCTTCTAGGCCCAACTACATCATCAGATGACTGAAACCTCATCCAACATCTGACAGCAACTTTATGAGACATTCAGTGAGAGTCTACCCGAAGATACTCCTGAATTCATGACTCACAGAAGCTGTGAGAGATAAGTGTTATGTAAGCTACTACATTTGGGATAATCTGTTATGCAACAATGGATAACTAATACATCCACTGTGATCAAAATACTTCAGTGGTTCCCAATTTTCCCCAAAGAAAGCCAGTCCTCTCGATGACTTCCATCCTGTTCACCACTATTACCTCTCTAACTTCATCTCCTACCACTCTCCCTTCTCTCCACCTTAGTCCCAGCCATAGTGACCTCTTTGCCATTCCTCAAATATGCCTCAGGGCCTGTGCTCACCAGTCCCTCACCCTTCCCCCACCTCATTCATGCCTTTACTCAAATGTCTCTCTCTGAGTGAGGCCTTTCCTGACTACCCTTCTAAAAATGCAGCTTCCCTACACACACCCACACCCACATACATTCTGCATTTCCTTCCTCCTTTCTTTTTCTTTTTTCCCCTTCCATATATTACTATTTAATATACTATATATATCACTTATTATCTGGCTCTCCTTATGAAGGTGAAAGCTTACTTGATGCAGAGATTTTTGTCTACTTCCAATCTCTAGAGCAGTGCCTGATTTATTATAATACATACTTCATAAAGATTTATCCAATGAGCATATGAATGGTAAAGATATAAGAAAATTCAATGAATAGTAACATTAAAAATGCTTCAAACACAGACCTTTTGTGACCCACTCCAAGTTTATAAAGCTGTTTCTAAAATGTGCTGTTAGTACCTTTCTTTCCTGAATAATTGTTTTACAAAAATAGCAGTTAAGGGGTGCCTGGGTGGCTCAGTCAGTTAAGTGTCGGACTTCGGCTCAGATCGTGATCTCGAGGTCCATGAGTTCGAGCCCCGCATCGGGCTCTGTGCTGACCGCTCAGATCCTGGGGCCTGTTTCAGATTCTGTGTCTCCCTCTCTCTCTGACCCTCCCCTGTTCATGCTCTGTCTCTCTCTGTCTCAAAAATAAATAAACGTTAAAAAAAAAAAATTCAAAAATAGCAGTTAAATGGTAAACTATCCTAACCAATTGTTTGCCTTTTTCTTTGTGAAACTCAGACCAAAATTGAAATTAAATTATAGTAGTTATATGAGTCCTTAGGATCTGTACCTTTTATTTTGTTTTATCTTGATTTTTTCCTAAGTTCCCTGTTCTTTTTTTCAAGTTCATTTATTTGTTTTGAGAGAGAGAGAGAGAGAGTGCACACATACAAGTGGAGGAGAGGCAGAGAGAGAAGGAGAAAGAGGATCCCAAGCAGGCTTTGCACTGTCAGCACTGAGCCTGATGGGGGCTGAATCCCATGAACCCAACCATAAGACCATGACCTGAGCCAAAACCAAGAGTCAGAGTCTTAACCCACTGACCCACCCAGGCAAGCCATAAGTTCCCTTTTTTTTTTTTCCTTTATTCTTAACTATTTCATTTTATGTTCTCATTCTACACTGCTTTAAAGACATTATAAAATTAATATAAATGAAAAACAAACAAGCAAATAGTGTTTGTGTTTTCTTAAACTCAGGAGATTAAAACTATCACTGGTTTAGCATACTTACAGAATTGTGAACTTTTTAAGGAACAAAGCTTTAATTTTTGTGAACCTTTCTAACAAGTCAACATAAGGTAATAGTTTTATTATTCAACAAGATAAACTTTATTATAAAATATTTAACATGAAAAATATGCTCTGGATCAAGATAGGAATATCTATCTCAACATTAAGTCAACAACACTCAGTACCATAGTGTATTTTATCTAATATTACCTAATAATTTCAAATAATTCTTAGAAACTTTTGTTTGTTTCATTATGCAGTAAAACCCTTCTTGAAAATTATTCGTGTTAAATTGATTCCATCTTTTCCAAAGAACCAGGAAGAGCTCTTTTAAACACTAAAGCATATGATTACAGGGGTGCCTGGGTGACTCAGTTAAGCATCCGACTTCAGCTCGGGTCACCACCTTGCAGATCATGGTTTCAAGTCCCACGTCAGGCTCCATGCTGACAGCTCAGAGCCTGGAGTCTGCTTTGGATTCTGTGTCTCCCTCTCTCTCTGCCCCTCCCCTGCTCACTCTCTGTCTCTCTCTCAAAAATAAATAAACATTAAAAATATTTTTAAAGTACATTATTACATTATCTGATGAATCAGCAGGTTTTTTTCTGCCTTCACACCATTTGTAATTTCTCATTATAGAGATCCTCAAAATGTACCTTATAGGAGCCTCTAGGATCACTTAGCAACTAGGAGAAGCAGAGAAAATAACAGATTTTTTAAAGCTCTTACATCCATACATACCCCAAAGGGTCGTAAAATGATAAACATGAGTTCTGAGATTACACACGGGAAACAGTGGTTTTGATTCTTTAGGGAAGAATAAAATAGTACTTGACAGAACTCTCACTTTAGAAGTATTTCTCATATTTAGTGAATGGTTGTAAAAGATAAACAAATAGTGCACGCGTGTGTGTGTATACACATATATATCACTGTATTTTAAATTTAATGTAGTTGGTATGCTTCACCTGACTGGGGAAAAGAGTGTGGCTGCTATAAAATAATCACAAACTCAAAATAATAATATTTTTGTAGATTTATTTTTTGGAACAGTTTCAGATTACAGAAAAAATGAGCCGATAGGACAGAGTATCCATATACGGCCCATCTCTCCCCTCTCACATTTCCCCTATTATGAACGGGTTCATTAGTGTGCATCTTTGCATATTAATGATGCGTTGCCTCATTACAATTGATGAGCCAATATTGATACATTACTATGAACTAAAGCCCAGAGCTTATATTAGGGTTTACTCTTTAGGTTGCACAGTTCTGTGGATTCTGACAAATGTCGAATGTCATATACCCACCACGAGAGTGTCATAAAGAATAGTTTTGTTGTCCTTACAATCCCTGTGCTTCACATATTCATCCATCCCCTCCTCTCCTTGAACTCTTTGAAACACAGGCCTTTTTACTGGCTCCCTAGTCTTGCTTTTCCCAGAATGTCATAGAGTTGGAATCATACAGGATGCAGCTTTTTCCCATTAGCTTTTTTCACTTAGCAGTACACATTTAAAATTCATCCATGTCTTTTTGTAATTTAATAGTTCATTTCTCTTTAGTTCTAAATAATATTCCACCGTACGATGTACTATGGTTTGTCTATCCATTCACCTATTAAGAGACATCTTGGGCACTTCTAGTGTTTAGCAATTATGAATAAAGCTGCCATAAACATTTGTGTAGACCTAAGTTTTAATTCATTTGGATAAATACCTAGAAGCATGATAGCTAGATAATATGGTAAGGCTATGTTTAGTTTTATAAGAAACTGCTAAACTGTCTTCAAAAGGAACTATATACCATATCCATTTCTACCAACAAAGAATGAGGGTTCTAATTGCTCCACAGCCTGTCTGTTTATATTGTCAGATTTTTGGATTTTAGCTATTTTAGTAGGTGTACATGGGTTCAAACTGCAATTTAATTTGCAATTGCGGTTTCAATTTTCAATTGACTAATGATATATTACTTTGAGCATCTTTTCGTACGATTATCTGCCATTTTTATATCTTCTTTCGTGAGATCTGTTCAGACCGTTAGTCCACTTTTCAACTTGCGTTGTTGACTTTTAAGAGTTTTAAATATTTTTAGATGGAAGTTATAATCAGATATGTGTTTTGCAAGTATGTTCTCCTGTATGAGGGTTGTCTTTTCATTTTTTAATAATGTCTTGGAGAGCATACATTTTTTTTTCATTTTAATAAGTCCAATTCATCAATTGTGTATCTCACTGATTGTGCTTTTAGCGTTGTTTATGAAAGCTCATCACCAAACCAGAGTTCACCTAGATTTTGTACTATGTCATCTCCTCCAAGCTTTCAAGTTTTGTGCTTTACATTTAGGTGTATGGTACATATTCAGTTGTGAGAAGTGTAAGGTCTGCCTCTAGCATTGTTTTGCACATGGATGTCCAATTCTTTCAGCACCATTTGTTGAAAAACCGATACTTTCTCCACTGAATTGCCTTTGCTTCTTTGCCAAAGAACAGATGATTATATATGTGTGAATCTGTTTCTGGGCTGTCTATTCTATCCCACTGACCTATGTGTCTATTTTTTCACCAATACCACATGGTCTTCATTGCAGTACTGGATAATAAGCCTTGAAGTTGGGTAGTGTCATTTCTCCAACTTGGTTCTTCTTCAGTATTGTGTTGGTGAGTCTGGGTGTTTTGACTTTCCATATAAACTTTAGAATCAGTCTGCCAACATTCACAAAATAACTTGCTAGGATTTTGATTGGGATTGCACTGAATCAAGCCCAACTTGGGAAGAAGTGACATCTTAACATTACTAAGTCTTGTACTCGTGAAAATGATATCTCTCCATTTATTTAGTCTTTCTGTGGTTTCATTCACCAGAATTTTGTAGTTTTCCCCATGTACAAGTATAGATCTTGTACATATTTTGTTAGATTTATACCAAATTATTTTGGTGAGTGCTAATGTAAATGGAATTGTGTTTTTAATTATAAATTTTATTGTTCATTGTTGGTATACAGGAAAACAATTGACTTTTCTATATTAATCTTGTATCATGCATCATTTCTATACTTGCTTATTAGTTTCAGTTCTTTTTGGCAATTGTTAGGAATTTTCTATATGTACAAACATATCATTTCTGAACAAAGACAGTTTTATTTCTCCTTCCCAATCTGTTGCCTTTTATTTCTTTTTCTTGTCTTATTATATTAGTTAGGACTTTCAGTATAATGTTAAAAAGCAGTGGTGAGAAGGGTCACCCGTCTCTTGCTCCTGACTTTAGTGGGAAAGTTCTAGTTTCTTGCCATTAAATATGTTTGCTGTAGTTTTCTTGTAGATATTCTTTATCAAGTTGAGGAAGTTCCCTCTCTATTCCTAGTTTGCTCAGTATTTTTTTATTATGAATGGATATTAGATTTTTGTGAAATGCTTTTGCTGTACCTATTGATAGGATCATGTGACTTTTCTTGTTAAGCTATTGATATGATAAATTACAGAAACTGATTTTTGATTGTTCAATCAGTTTTACATAGCTGAGATAAGTCCCATTTGATCATGGCATACAATACTTTTTTATACGTTGTTGGCTTATATTTGCTAATATTTCGTTGAAGATTTTTGCACCCATGTTCATGAGAGATATTGGTCGGTTATTTTCTTTTCTTGTAACTTCCCTATCTGGTTTTAGTATTAAGATAATGATGGTCTGGGGCGCCTGGGTGGCGCAGTCGGTTAAGCGTCCGACTTCAGCCAGGTCACGATCTCGCGGTCTGTGAGTTTGAGCCCCGCGTCGGGCTCTGGGCTGATGGCTCAGAGCCTGGAGCCTGTTTCCGATTCTGTGTCTCCCTCTCTCTCTGCCCCTCGCCCGTTCATGCTCTGTCTCTCTCTGTCCCAAAAATAAATAAACGTTGAAAAAAAAATTTATAAATAAAATAAAAATTAAAAAAAAAAAAAAGATAATGATGGTCTCAGAATAAGTTAGGAGGTGTTTCTGTTGCTGTTTTCTGGAAGACATTGTAGATAATTGGTATAAGTTCTTCTTTAAATGTTTGATTCACTGGTGCACTTTTCTAGGACTGATGCTTTCTGTTTACAAGGCTACTAATTATTGATACAGTTTCTTTAATAGATACAGGCTTATTCAGATTATCTATTTCTCTTTGAGTGAGTTTTGGCAGATTGTGTCTTTCAAGCAATTGGTCTGTTTCATCTAGGTTATCAAATATGTGGGTATAAAGTTGTTCTTAATATTCCTTATTTTTTAGCATCCAGAATATCAGTAGTGATGGCATCTTTTTCATTTCTAGTAATAGTAATTTGTGTCTTCTTTTTCCTTTTTTTAATTAGCCTGGCTAGAGATTTCTTAATTTTATTTCTCTTTTCACATAACCAGCTTTTTGTCTCATAGATTCTCTTTATTGATTTCTGTTTTTCAATTTTATTGATTTATACTCTAGCCTTTTTTTTTTTCTTTTCCTTACTTTGGATTTAATTTGTTTTTCTGTTTCTGGTTTCCTACTGTATACACTTAGATTATTAATTTCAAAGCTTTCTTCTTTAATATAGGAATTCTATCCCTCTAAGCACTGATTTCACTGCATGTCATATATTTCATACATAATATTTTCACTTTCATTTAGTTTGATGTATATTTTATTTTGAGAGCTCTTCCTTGATTCATGACTTACTTATATGTGTTTTTTATATTCCAATATTTTGGGATTTTCCAGCTCTCTTTCCATTATGTATTTCTAGTATAACTTCAGTGTGGTCTGAGAGCATACTTTCTGTGATATTTATTCGTTTAAATTCGTGAAGATATATTAAATAGTCCAGAACGTAGTCTCTCTTAGTCTGTGATCTATGTGAGCTTCAGGAGAATGTGTAGTCTATTGTGGTTGGATGAAATATTATATAACTGTCAATTAGATACAGAAGATGATACTGCTATTCAGTTCAACTCTATCTTTACTGATTTTTTTTGCCTGCTTGATCTGTCAATTACTATGGAGGGGTGTTGAAGCCTCCAACTAGAGCAGTGAATTTGTGTCAATTTCTTCTTGCAATTTTAACTGTTTTTGCCTCATATATTCTGATACTCTGCAGTGATGTGCATACATAAGAATGTCATGTCTTCCTGGAGAGTTAACCCCTTTATCATTATGTCATGCCTCTTTTTGTCCCTGATAATTTCCTTGTTCTGAAGTCTTCTTTATCTGAAATTAAAATACCTAGTCCAGCTTCCTTTTGATTAGTGTTAGCATGGTATAGCTTTCTCCACCCCATATAATCTGTGTCTTTATAATTAAAATGGGTTTCCGGTAAACATCATGTAGTTGGGTTCTGTTTTTATTTGCCCTATCTTTTAATTGTTGTATTCAGACTATTCACATTTAAGGTGGAATAATACCTACCCTACACTATTTTCTATTTGTTGACCTATTCTTTGTTTCCTTTGTCTTCTCGCCCTCCCCTTTTTTTTCTACTTTCTCTGGTTTCATTTAAGCATTTTTTATGATTCCACTTTCTCTTCTCTCTTGGCATATCAACTATACTTCTTTTTACCAGTTTTTTAGGAATTGCCTTAGATCTTGCAGTATACATTTACTACCTATCTAAATTCACTTTCAAATAACACCTTACCTCTTCACAGATAGTGTAAGTACTTTATGATAGACTATTCCTAATTCTTCCCTCCTGTCACTTCTGAAATCGCTGTCATTCGTTTCACTTGTGCTATAATCTATATGACCATATAAGCTATAACCATAATCTGTAACCACCTAATACACTGTTGCTCTTATTGTTTTGTAGTTATCTATTAGATCAATTAAGAATGAGGGGCGCCTGGGTGGTTCAGTCGGTTGAGTGGCCGACTTCGGCCTAGGTCATGATCTCGCGGTCCGTGAGTTCGAGCCCCGCGTCGGGCTCTGTTCTGACAGCTCAGAGCCTGGAGCCTGTTTCCGATTCTGTGTCTCCCTCTCTCTGACCCTCCCCCGTTCATGCTTTGTCTCTCTCTGTCTCAAAAATAAATAAACGCTAAAAAAAAAAAAAAAAAAAAAAAGAATGAAAAGTAAAAGGTCTTATTTTGTCTTCATTTATTTTTTTCCTCATGTCCTTCCTTTCTTTATCTGAATCCAAGTTTCTGAACTATATTCTTTTCCTTCTCTTTTTTCTTTGCCTGATTTTTTTTTTTTTTTTTTTTTTTTTTTTTTGCAATTTGAATGTGACCTGCCTACATGCAGATATTTTCTGCTTTTATCCTAGTTGGTGTTTGAGTTTCTTGGATCTGTGACTTGGTATCATATATCATTAATTTTGGAAAATTCTCAGCCAATATTACTTCAAATACTTCTGTTCCTTTCTCTTTTTACTATGGGTACTCTCATTACCCATATTTGACACATTTTTGTAATTTTCCCATAGGTTTTGGATATTCTGTTGTGTTTTACTTTAATGCTATGTTCTCTCTACATTTAAGTTTGCAAACTTTCTGCTGATATATCTTTAAGCTCACTGACGTTCTCAGCTGTAAAAAAGCATTCTTTGGTTCAGTTGCAGTGTGTCTGTTTTCTAGCATTTTCTTTTGATTCGTAAAGTTTTCATCTCTCATATTACACATCTTTTCTTGTATGTTAACTTTTTCCAGTAGAGCTCTTGGTATACTAATAATAGGTATTTTAAATCTGAAGTCTGAAAATTCCAAAATGTCTACCATATCTGAGTCTCGTTCTCAGGTTTGATTTATCTCTTTAGTCTGTGTTTTTTTCTTGCCTCTTACTATTTCTTGCAATTTTTTTATAAGCTAGATATGATGTATCAAATAATAGACACTGTTGTAAACAGGCCTTTAGTGTGAGGTTTTCTTTTTACATAACCAGGGGTTAGGCTGTGTTTATATTTGCTACAGCTGTAGTTGTCATGGGTTTCAATTTCCCCTAATGTCCTTCCTCTGTCTCTTCTTTTGCCTTTGTGTTTTCTTAGAAACTCCCATTTTTTTCTTTTTTTAATGTTTATTATTTTTAAGAGAGAGAGAGAGAGACAGACAGACAGAGTGTGAGTGGGGGAGGGGCAGAAAGAGAGGGAGACACAGAATCCAAAGCAGGCTCCAGGCTCTGAGCTGTCAGCGCAGAGCCCAACGCAGGGCTCGAACTCAGGAACCATGAGATCATGACCTGAGCAGAAGTCCAATGCTTAACCGAGCCACCCAGGCGCCCCAGAAACTCCTTCTTAAACAGTGTCTGTGTCTTCCAGCTCTCTCACTTGTAATCCACTGTTACTGAACCGGAACAATTTTAACATGGTGATAAGATATTGGGGAGTGGAAGCACTCTAATCTTATGTACTCCTTAATTTTAGTGAGCCGGAATCCCTGGACCCTTTTTTCTTTCTCCCCCAGTGAGACACGGGAAGACTAAAAGGGGCTTAAGTCACCCAATTGCTCCTCTTCCAAGTCAGGTAAAGTTCTGATAAAGAAGCTTACCTAGAAGGCTAGTTTTTATTTCAGAGAGCAGAAGGCTCTGGGCGTGTTTCATAACGGCTCCTTTTTCCCTCCCCTTGCCAGAATCAAGAGGGAATTTTTCTCTTATCTTCATGGAGAGAACCTGGCAGGACTCCTGAAGGTAAACTCGTTACAGTGTGCGTGCTCCCCTGACCCTGGGTCCTCACCATTACTGTTGAAGAGCCCTTACCCATTACTGGCTCTAGTGGCTCATAAGGTGCAATGCTCTGCATTCACCTATCTCTACCGTTTTTTCAGGGAGGTGATTTACCTTGTGATCTCAATGATCTGGTAGATCTAAGAAGAGTTCTTGATTTTCAGTGTGTTTAGCCTTCTTCTTGTCCTGATGACAGAAGTGATAACGCCCAAGATCTTTAAATGCCATGGCAGAAACCAGAAGTCCTAATAGTATTTTTTATGCATTTTATCTTTGACCACATAAAAGGATGAGGTACACAGATCTCATTATGTCAGTAATAATATATAAAAGGAAACAGGTTTAGAGAGATTAAGTGACTTTTCCAGAGGTAAAAAGCTAGTAGATGAAGCTAACCTGGACTTCCTAGTGCTCCTCAACACAGACCTTTATGTTTAGACATTAGTGCATAGGAAACAACCTCAAAGGACAATTTGAGTTTAAATAGAAGATCATCCATGTTTGGGTTGGATCTGTGGCATGATGTGAAAAGCATTGGCCCTGGGAACATCCCCTAACAAATGTCCTCAAGCCTGACTCAGCCCCCAACTCACTTTAAGATTTTAGGGAATTCGGGGGTGCCTGGGTGGCTCAGTCGGTTGGGCAGCTGACTACAGCTCAGGTCATGATCTCGGGGTCTGTGAGTTCAAGCCCCGCATCGGGCTCTGTCCTGAGAGCTCAGAGCCTGGAGCCTGCTTCTGATTCTGTGTGTGTGTGTGTCTCTCTCTCTCTCTCTGCCCCTTCCCTGCTTGCTCTCTGTCTCTCTGTCTCTCTCAAAAATAATAATGAAAAAATTTAAAAAAAAAAGATTTTAGGGAATTCACAACAATGTGAGTCTCAGTTTCTCAATGCAAATCCGAAGCAAGGATAAAGCACATGATCATTGAGGTCTCTTGCAATCATGAAGTGAAACAATTCTAGGTTGGCTTTCGGCCCTATGTTTTGTGGGGGAGAGCGTTTGTGAGGAAAGGGGAACTCATTTCCTCAAAAATTTTCTGAACCACTAAATTAATCCTTTCCCTCAGGTAAGAAGCCTTAGCTTTCTTAATTCTTTCAGTGACATGATGCTTTTCCTTCCCATGTGCTTCTTACACTATCACTTATAAAAGTGAATAATGTTAAAGCAGAATTTCCTTCCAGGATAAGGCCTCTTTGGGCAGGCCTTATGCTTTCTCCCACTTGTAACCCTACAATCATTACCAACCACTGAATTGTCTCAGTTAAATGTCACTTCCTCAGACAGGACTTCCTTGATCTCTTCGACTGGGACAGAACCCAGCACTTCCCCTTTCCCTTTTCTGAACTTATTTGTTCATATCTGTGCCACTTGATATTCTGGAATCTACATGAAGGAAAGAGTCTCCCTAGGCCACTGCTGCACTCTCAGGGCTCTTGAGTCTAGAACAGTGCTGTCCGACAGAACTTTCTGCAATGATAGAAATTTTCTATAATCTGCACATGTGGCTACTGAACACTTAAGAAGTGTCCAAGTGAACTACTGAATTTTTAATTTAAATTAGAATAGCCATATGCAATTAAAGGCTACATATCAGACGGTGGAGGACTAGAGAAGTCTTTCTCAAATCTAAATCGAGATGTCAGGAATCTGTATCTTAACTCATTCTCCAGGTAATTGTTACCAGCAATAAAAATTTGACAACTATTGATCTAGAATATGATTCTCGAGGCTGGCTTCACAACAGGATCACCTGGAGGAGAAAATGATCCTTAGTCCACATCCCCAGAGATTCTATTTCAGCTGGCCGGCCGTGGGGTCCAGGTATTAGTATTTTAAAAACTAAATAAAACAGAAAACCTCCTCAGTGATTGTAACACAATCAAGTTTAAGAGATACAGAACATACATTCTCACAAGGTACTCAGTACCTATTAGATAAATATCTAATACTTATAGATTTATAAATATATATTATACAGATATAGATATATAGATATTATAGATAAATAGATATTATATAGATATATAGATTTATAGATAAATAGATATTATATATTTATAGATATTAAATATCTAATATTTATAGATTTATAGAGTTACAGGTAAATGGTCTGGGTGCATTTACAAAGGATTACTGATTATACTGATTACAAGTGATGTCTTGTGATGTCACGAGATGTTAGTGACCTTAGTGGTTCAGATGAATTTCTTGATAGTGAAAGCAAATTCAGTTTTCACATAGCCTTTTACGATTGTGTGAAATTCCTTGGCTTTTTGTTTCATCCACGAACAGTACAACATACTACCAAGCCCCGTGACATTTAAAGGGTGACACACAAAGAGCTCCCTGAGCAATCACCTCCTAAAATACACAAAAGTCTTTCTAGTTTGCTGGTTGATTGACAGATGGTCTGAGGACGCCTTCTCGGAGCCACGTGAGTCACAAGACCTTGCACTCCGGTGCTGGAGGAAGGTGTTTCCTAACCTGCTGCCCTCGGCTGCCTCCGGGTCTCTTTTATTAGAGCGCTTCCTCCTCCACTCGTCGGTCTGTCTGTAATTGTCCCCACAGGAAGTAGTGGCTGCCCGGGCAGTCAGGTCGAGCCGAGGCAACAGACTTCTGAGTCATAGGTGCTAGAACCCTCCCTTCTCCCGCCCCGTCACAGGTAACTGTCCCAGCAGGAAGTAAAGGCTGGCCGCGCTGGAAGCAGAGAGAGCAGGCGGGCGCAGCCGCGCGGTGGAGGCTTCAGCGGGGGCTGTGCTGGAGGGAGTTTCAGCGCCAGCCCTGAGCGCAGTGAGTACACGCAATCAAAGGAAACCCAGTAGCTTTGCAGTGGAGTGTCTCGTGGTTTTTCAGAATGCGCTGATGATTCAAAAGAAAAGATCAGATCTCTGAATATGTCCTTTCCGGCGCTGCGAATGTTAGCCACGATGCCGGCAAAGCTTGCCAGGGGAGTTGAGGAAATTAACATGAAACTAAAACCGAACTCTTGGTTGAAGAATTATTGATCAGAACGTGCCAAATACTAACAATAGAAGTTTAAATTGACAAGCGAAATGAACAGAAAAAAAAAAGTATTCACTAATAAATGAAATAAAGGTACTAAAAATACAAATGAATGAATGTAGTTTAATAAAATATCAGAGGACACCTGAAAAATAAACATTTAAAAACTACTGTTGTTTAAAAGTGGTTTGAGACTTGTTAACTCAACATGTCCGCATTAAAAAAGAATTGGGAATAATGTGCTAAACGTGATGTGGCTTTACCTTTTCACATAAATTTCATTGATTTAGATAAAGATAGTGCATATTGCCAATCCTCTTTGAAATTAGATCACTTGCTTTCTGAAACATACCAGAGCTGTATGCAATAAATTTCATTTATCAGCAGGTAATAACTTATAAATTAACTTATAAATTAACATTGATAATGTTCGTTCAGCACTCAAAATGCAGTTCATGCACTCTGATTAGCTCCTCAAATTATTTCCATTGGAGTGAAACCTAAGAGGTTTAGGGCTGTCTATAGGCTTTCATAAGGGCATCTTTTCACTGAAATAATTTGCCACTTTTGAAAGTTAGGCACTTTCTTATCAGTGTGCTTGTAAAGCTTTCGTTTTGTTTTTGTTTCAATTTAAATGGGGGGAAAAAACGAATTTCTTAGATAACACCAAACCATGTGTCTTCTCAGCCCCCTGATATCCAGTTCCTCTGACCTATTACTGTGCTGACATCTTAGCAGCAATCCACCTGCCTGACTCTTGAACAATAGCCCGTGTAAGCCCTTGCAGGGCCAAAACTTTCTTTGTGCTTCACAGTAAGACTATTATTTTTATTGAAGTAGTGTTACTATGTCCGTGTTTCTGTATGTCTCAACATCTCTTCCTCAACTACATCCCCATGGGAGAGATTGTCTTACCAGCATTTGTTTGGGTTTGTTTTAAGAAAGCACGTACAATTTCAAATAGATGTTTTTCTTGCTAAGATTCATTGAGCAGTTTTGAAGCTATCCCTGTTTTCAGTGAAATTATCCGTAATGATGCCAAAGAATATATATATATATATATATATATATATATATATATATATATATATAGTTGGTAGGGTTTTTTTTTAATATTCTCTGCAAGAACACATAAGGAACAATAGATGGAAAAATGAAACACCTTTAAAGTAAATATTATCACTATAAAAAAATAACAAGGAAGGTCGATTTCAGATATACTTTATTCCATACATATCCACAAGAAGTCATCACTGCATTAAGTTTGGAGGAAAAGAAAGGCTGGATTATCTTAAATTCTATTCCAAAGGGCTTAAAGAGGTGAGGTGAACCAAAACGTCAAGGTGCAAAATGTGATTTCAAAATGGTATTGTGGAAAGACTGATTACCTCCTGTGATAAAATGACTTTTTTGTGTTATTTTTTTCTCACATAACCTCGACAACTAAAAGGGTGAATTATGTTCAATAGCCTTTTCCAAATGTTATGAAAAATATCTGATTCTTGGGTATTTGTGGCTTTGGTCCTTTTCATCATAGGGAACCAGAACTTTTTAATAAGCTTATCAGTGCAGTCCAATAGAACTTTCTGCAATGGTGGAAATGTTCTATAATCTGCCTTGCCCAGAATGGTAACTACTGGCTATCTGTGGCTATCAAGCACTTGATATTTAGTTTGCTTGGCTAAGGAACTGAATGTTCTTTTCTTCCTTTTAATGAAAACTTAGCTATCTATATGTGGCTAGTGGCCACCAGTTTTCACAGGTAGCCGAATAGCTGCCTCACATAGTTCTGCTGACCAGGTGAAGCTATTTCGCATCATACCACTGTTGATCTTATACTGTAGGAGATTCCTGAAGGGATTCTTCAAGGATGGAAATCTTGAAGAGACAAGAAATTCTTGAAGAGATCTTTAAAGGATTCTTCTATCTGTTCATTTTTTTTTAAGTTAGAAAGATACAAAGTTTCATGAGTTGCTTAAACAAATACAGACCCTGAGGGCACTACTGATAAGTGCCTTTGCCTCTAGGTGATCCTGAGTGTGTAGCAGCAATAGAACCTAAATGTGTCCTCAGGCTCCGATTTGCTTTGGAGGCACTGAGAGTTATGAAAGTCTTCACATGTGCTCTTTCATTTGATTGTCACACAACTGAAGTAAACTGAGCCCTGGCCCACAAATCTTTTCATTTTACTAGTCAGCCTACACAAGAGAAATTTTTTTATAATATAATAAGAATAGTCTCCAGGGTTTGGAAGAAATAAGGTTTTCGAGCTCTGAAAAAAAGTTTTTCTTTTGGGTTTTGTTTTTTTTTTAATTTTTTTTAACGTTTATTTATTTTTGAGACAGAGAGAGAGACAGAGCATGAACGGGGGAGGGTCAGAGAGAGGGAGACACAGAATCTGAAACAGGCTCCAGGCTCTGAGCTATTAGCACAGAGCCCGACGCGGGGCTCGAACTCGCGGACCGCGAAATCATGACCTAAGCCGAAGTCGGCTGCTCAACCGACTGAGGCACCCAGGCGCCCCTGGGTTTTTTTTTTTTTGAGAGAAAGAGAGAGAGAGAACGTGAACAGGGAAGGGGCAGAGGGAGAGAGAGAGAATCTTAAGCAGGCTCCATGCCCATCTCAGAGGCTGACTTAGGGCTCGATCTCACAACTGTAAGAGCATGACTGATCTGAAATCAGGATTCAGACGCTTAACCTGAGAGCCGCTCAGGCGCCCCCAAAGTTTTTTTTTTTTTAATTGTAGATTAGTGATCAAAAAGTATCTGTTGGTAAAATAAACAAAACCACAGATGAATGAACATGGAGTGTAAACAGAATACATAATTTCATAACGTCCTAACTTTTTATTTGGAGGAAGGAATCTTAGCATGCTTTGGAAAATCTCAATAAATATCACATATAAGTCACAACTTGCTCACAGATTCACAACTTCTTGGTTGTCTTATTTTTATTTTATTTCAGAAGCTCTTGAAAAGTGCATCAAGTCTAAAGTGAACTGGCTCACTCTTGGGCAGTACTGGAACCATGAGCAATAATGGAACAGACTTAACCACTGGTTTCATCTCCTCTTCTGTGGCTGTCCTTTTGTTTGGCTCAAACTTTGTACCACTCAAAAAATATGATACTGGTGATGGTAATTATTTTTCCTTAATACGCTAACTTTATATTCTTTTCAAACGTGAAGTTCCCTTTTTCGGTCTTTTGTTTTAATGATGGCTACCAATTTTCTTGTACCTGGTGCCAAATGAATAGAGCTTAAGATACATCATTTAATAATTCTCATGCCAGTTTATCTGAGATTTAGTCAGTATAGGATAATCTTAAAATTGTGTGTCACGGTAAAGCTAGGAGAGAGACCATCAGGAAGGCTTTTTAGCCGTATCTCTTATGTTTACAAAAAAAGGAAGTTAGTCAGTGCTACTAATATACACTTGTTTCGAAAACACGAATTTCAAACAAGCTTCGTATGATAAAGAACAGTTTGAGCACGAAATGAATTTTGTGCTTAGGTATGATTTCGACTCTGCTACAACACTAGGTGAACACAGAAAACTGCACCCAGATGAATAAAGATGCACGGTAAGGCACAAGACGCACTTGCGCACGCACTCCTCAACATCCCCCAGCTCCATCAGCACCACACCCATTCACGTCTGGTGTTAGGACCCCCCCATCCACCAACTTCACAAAAGCTCACAAGCTGCCACACTTGCAATGCCCACTTCTATAAGCAAACCTCAAGTCTTTTTCAAGTTAAAGTGCCATGTTTATTTTAATACTTGTGAATTTCTTCACCGCTTAGCCAGTGTAAAAATGTACTACCATTTTTATTAGGTTCTTGTCTTTGCTTTTCATATGCGTTGATGAAACTTTTGAGTTTTGTACCCTTTTCCCCATAAAAACTCTGTAGTGTTTATTATACGACTTTGCATAGTTCAGTGTTTCTAGACATGGCACACTACAGTCGACTTGACAGTAATGTGAACTTCAGGGAAAGAGAAGAAAGAGGGTTTTTTTTTTTTTTCCTTTTTTAAAAATCTACTTGCCTTTATTATTTGTTTAATATTTAGTTACTTATTTTTGAGAATGAGAGAGCACAAGTGGGGGAGGGGCAGAGAGCGAGAGGGAGACAGAATCCGAAGCAGGCTCTAGGCTCCAAGCTGTCAGCACAGAGCCCTCCGTGGGGCCCAAACCTACCAACCGAACCATGAGGTCATGACCTGAGCCAAAGTCGGTGGCTTAACTGACAGAGCCACCCAGACGCCCCATATTTGCCACATGCCCCGTATTGTAGCCAGGAGAAAGAACTGGAGATGTTACACTGAACGCCTGGGTGGGAAACAGTTGTGTTATCCCCTCAGTTCCTTAGACCTTGTTACTTAATTAAACAATAGAATTACAAATCTTTTTTCTTCCAGAGCTTTTCTTCTCTTTTTCTTTGGAGTTAGGATGGAAATGGAAACTACTAAAAGAAGAACAAAATATATTTGAAGGGGTAGAGGAACTGGCTTTTAGGTGTCTCTCAACAACTGTGTGATCCTGGGCAAGTCTCATCAGCTCTTTTGTTCTCAATTTCTCATTTGTGAAATGAAGAACTTGTCAAATGAAGTTCCCTCTCATCTCTGTGATCTTCCTTTTTTGTCTTAGAGGTTAACAGTCATTTTTGTTTTCTCTCCCCCAACATGAAATTGAATGGAAATAGGCAAAAATCTTCCCCAGTTAGAGTCAGAGGAGCTACACTGAGTTATAACTGCCCTAGTCTTTCTTCCAGTGTAGACTTTTTCTTTAACCTTTTAATCCCTAAACCCTTGGTGGTACAGAGGCGTCAGGTAGAGATATGCCTCATATCTCCATGTCATCTTCGGATAACTGGCAGCAAATGGCAACCCAGAGCCCAGAAAGAGAATTCCCTGACCCAGAACGCTTATTCTCAGGTTTGTAATGTCTGGCTCATCACAGGCATTCAACGCTAACTGTAGGAGGTCTATGTGTGGCCATAAATGGCTTTATTTTTATCCCAAGGGTGGCACAAATGATCCCTGAAGGTTTAAATTACTGTTATGCTGTTCTGTAATTCTTAATGCTGTGTTTTGGTGAGAGGTGGCAATAAGTGCAGCATCTGGATAAAGGTATATAGACTTGGTCTTGCCAATACTCTTTGGTAGAAAATTCTTAATGTATCTAACAGGTCAAACAAACAAACAAACAAAAGAATCTTAGGCAGGAATGCACTGTATTTGGTAAGCTTCAGAGTCAACAGCCTAGGTTTAAGTTCAAGGTCTACAAACCATTAGCTGTTTAGCCAAGTTGCTTCATCTCACATTCATCTTCTCCATCTTCAAACTAGGGTTAATTATGATGCTTAACAGTTGTAAAAGTTCAATGTACGAAGTACCCACGTACAGGCATTTGATAAGTTGCAGCTATTCCTATAATAATATCTCTTTGATATTTCCAACCATTAAATTTATTCAAATCAGTTTGAACAACAGAAACCAATTTATCTTATTTCCAGGAATGTTTCTCCAGTGGGTACTTTGTGCTGCCATATGGATGATTGCCCTGGCGGTCAATCTGATACTACATTGCCCTAAATTTTGGCCTTTTGCAATGGTTGGGGGCTGCATTTGGGCAACAGGTAATGTATGATATAATTTATTCTTTAATCATTTAATACCGATCAAAATGACTCTGATTCACAGTAAAAGAAAATAGCATCAACAGCAATTCTGAGCAATCCTTAGTCATAGATACTAGAAATTAATTTTGTTTCTTTCATTCAGATGCTGCATAAATATTTTGGGTGCATTTCTTTTTTCCTCTTAATGATTTCTTTCTTAGTTCTTGGTAGACAATTATAGCAAATATATTTCAGTTGTTCCCTATCTATTCAAGCATAACTCATATATTAGTTCAAGTGCTCCAGCCTTTTTTTCTCTATGTTTATCATAAAATATTTTTTAATAGTAGCCTCTACTAATATATATTTTTAAGATTTGTCCTTAAATGTAGGCAAACAGGCACATATTATCATTTCAAAAGTACTGGCAAAAAAATAAAAGCAAAAATATTCCTTTTGTTGCTTTATCAATTCCTGAAACTATATAAGAATGTGTACCTTTGCTTGGACAGTCAGGATGGTTTTCTTCCATTAATATAAATACATTCCAGGAGATTTCTATTCCATTTGGCAAAACGAATTCAAAGTATCAAGGCTCTTCAGGGGTTAATTTGATTAAAAGCAAATAAATTCTAAAATGTTAACAATGTATTGGGTACCCACTTATTTTGAGTCTCTGCAGAATTAAATGATTTAGTGAAGTTCATGAGTTGGAGGACAAAAGAGTTCACTTTTAAATTTCCATTCACATGATCATGTTTATTATGTTTAATGGGGAGAGGGCAAGAAATAAAGCATCCATCTATCCTCCAGATCTTTATCACAACTAAAGTATTTATAATCACCCAGCAGTTTCCTTTGGGATTCAGTGGAGAGGGCTATAATTTGAGAAATGTTGCAGATGTGGATGAAATAGGTCATAGTAACTGAACGGATATGGGGAGTTGAGGAAAGGGAGCAACGAGTGATGATGTAGGGATTTTATTATAGGTGATGAGGAGGGTGGTGGTACCATTGACATGAGTGCTGAAAATACAGAGAGGTATGTGTCCAAAAAGAAAAAGGATAGTTCAGCTTAGGACCTTTTGAGTCTGAAGTTCCTGACATTCCCACAGTGGAGGACCTCTGGTTGGAGGCCTCTCATAGTGGTGGGAGCATAGCACTAAAACTCTGGAGAAAGTCCAGGCTAGAACAATACCACTGGGACTATGTGTCTCTAACTGACAGCTGAAATCCTGAAATTAGGTCAAGTACCCAAAGAAGAATATAGCAAGAAGAAGAATGTGTTCAGGGGAAAATACTTAAGGGGCATCTGTGCTCGCTTCGGCAGCACATATACTAAAACTTAAGGGGCATCTAAATCCAGAAAATATGCCGAGAGAGAGCAAACAGTGAAAGAGCTAAAGAGAGAGAGAAGGGAATCAGGAAATGAAGGCATCTTGGAAGCTACGAGAGGAAACCTTTTAAAAGGCGATTGCAGGACTGAAGCCAGACTGCTGAAAGGTTAAGAATTGTAAAAAAAAAAAACAAAAAAAACAAAAAAACAAAAAAAAAACAATCATGCATTTGGCCTTGAGTGACCTTCCAGAGCACAAAGCAATGAATGCAGGATTCCAAAAGACAAGTCAATGAGCATGGAAGAGCAAAGTCTGGGGCCATATTGGGCCAGAAACTTCTACCAGTGGTGGCCCTGGTTCAAGTCTAAGACTAATTTTACTGTTGACACTAATTTTATCATTACAGCTTCTGCAAAAAGTTACAGAATAGAGACCTATGTGAAGGATAAAAAGCATTGGTGCTGCTAGGCAAAGAGCTAATTTAATATTTTTCTTTGTAAGCTTTTGTCTTATGTTTATTTCTTTTAGCAATCATAACCATGAGTTCAATGCCAAAAATGTAGTTATTTTATTTAAAAAGTAAGGAATTGTACTTTACTAAATTTGTCAAAATCTCATAAGCTTCAGTTGAAGTTAAAAACTAATTCAATTTGTAAATGTATTTTTTTCTATTAGAAATAACATATTTTTTTCTGTATGTTACATCTACAGGGAATATTGCTGTTGTCCCAATTATCAAAACCATTGGTTTAGGCCTTGGAATATTAATCTGGGGATCTTTTAATGCCTTAACTGGCTGGGCAAGCTCAAGGTAACAGAAAACAATTTCTGTAAAATTCTCTACACTCATGTAAGACAAGTCGTAGGGATTGGGCTAGCTGAGAGGAATAATGGTTCTTAACCTCACAGAGATTATAGCTGATAAGACATACACATAAAATATGCTACTTATAATTATTCTTTGCTCTAAGTTCTAATATCTGGTCTAGATATTGGTTAAGATATAGTAAAGAATTATCTCCTTAGAACAGAAAAAGGAAGAGAGGAACTGGTGTTTATTTTCCCTTTTTGTTGTGTGACAATTTGCTGGACACATTATATGCATCATTCTCCTCTCATTTTTACAAAGATGAGGTAAGCACTACCTTATTAGAGAGCTACCAAACAGGTTGAATAACCTGCTGAATATCACAGAATGAATAAGATATGCTTCAAATCCAGGCCTTCTAGTCTTAAAGCACATCTTCTTTCTAGAGCCTGGGTCAGGGTCACCAAACCAGCCATTTTTATAAATAAAGTTTTCTTGTAACACAAACAAACCCATCCATTTACGTTTTGTCTATGACTGCTTTTACACTATAGTGGTAGAGTTGAGTAGACGGTCTGGCTCACGAGAGACAATCTGGCTCCCAAAGCCTAAAGTGTTTACTCTCTGGCCCTTTAGCAAAAAGTATGCCAACCTCAGCTCCAGAGGGGTCCAACAGGGTCACCAGAAGCCATATGTGTCCATTTATATTCAAAGTTAAATTAATTAAAATTTGATAAAATTAAACATTCAGTTTCACAGCCACACTACCCATATACCAAGAGTTCAATAGCCATATATGGCTAGAAATTACCCTGGTATACAGTGCACCAGTAGAAGTGCCCCATCATCATAGAAAGTTCTATTTGTGCTGCCCTTGTTAAGCATTAAAATGAACACTTAAGTGGAGTTTGGGAAGACAAGTAGAAGGGAAGATGTCAGGGTGCCTGGGTGACTCAGTCGGTTAAGCGTCCGACTCTTGGTTTCAGCTCAGGTTATAATCTCACGGTTTGTGAGTTCAAGCCCCACATCGGGCTGTGTGCTGACAGTGCAGAGCCTGCTTGGAATTCTCTCTCTCTCTCTCTCTCTCTCTCTCTCTCTCTCTCAAAATAAATAAATAAACTAAAAAAAAGAAGAAGCAGGGAGGATGTCACCCTTACCTTATTTTTTGTTCTCCTCTTCCCTCTCAAAGCATTATAACAACCTCAGTAATAACAAAACAAACTGACCTCCAACCTTACAAGTGCTATTTTCTTTTGCTTTTTGTTATTGCCTCTTTCACTCTTGCCCTGAATGGTTCACAGTGATTGTTGGTAATCATCGCTATAAAGTCAAGCCATGAAAAAAAAAAAAAAAAAATTAAGGTGATGCCAAAAAGGAGTGATCTTTAACCAAGCAGTTATTTAAAAGTCTGTTTCATAAAAACTGAGAACAAATTGAGGGTTGATGGGGGTAGGAGGGAGGGGAGGGTGGGTGATGGGTATTGAGGAGGGCACCTTTTGGGATGAGCACTGGGTGTTGTATGGAAAACAATTTTCATATATTGAAAAAAAAAGTCTGTTTCAATAAACCCTATACAAAATTGCAGCCAATGAATCGGCATTCAATTACTCAATCATTTATTTTGTCTTCCTTCTTCCTTAGTCTTAATAAGAAAAGAACATCCAAATTTACATATACTAACTCACTGAATCTTCATATGAAGGAAGGTATATGTATAATAATTATACCGACCATATGGGTACCCCATTTTAAACATGGGGAATTGAGCACAGTAAACATAGTTAACTTACTCAAGTCACAGTTAGTAAGAGAGGGATTTAGGATTTGAATCCAGGAATCTGACCCTGAGTCCATGCTCTTAAACACTATGATGAACACATTTTCAAAAAAATGTGATGTAACTTTCTCAATTCTAGGTTTGGCTGGTTTGGAATGGATGCAGAAGAAGTGTCAAAACCAGTGCTAAATTACATTGGAGCTGGATTATCGGTAGTAAGGTATACAGTCATTTCTAATTTAACTGTTCTTCCAGACATCTAGAATATCTTTCAGAGATCTCAGTGTGTTTACATTTTTTTAAGCCTGTGTTTCATAAAAGTGACATGATTTGTCCTCAGATTCTTTATCTACGTTCACATATTTTGAGGACAAAAAGGTCAGGTCTGGGGACACAGGCCCCGTTTTAGTTCTCAAAAGCTCTGAGACTTCAGGAAAATCAGCTGCTTTGAAGCTCATTTTCATTATCTGTGACTTTTTAGAAAAATCACAGTACATAGCTCATGAATTAGAATCAAATGGCACATTATTTTGCAAACTAAAAAATACTATATAGGTGTGCCTGGGTGGCTCAGTCAGTTAAGCGTCCGACTTCAGCTCAGGTCATGATCTCACGGTTCATGGGTTCGAGCCCCGCGTCGGGCTCTGTGCTGACAGCTCAGAGCCTGGAGCCTCCTTCAGATTCTGTGTCTCCCTCTCTCTCTGCCCCTCCCCCACTCATACTCTGTTGCTCTCTCTCTCAAAAATAAACAAACATTAAAATTTTTTTAAATACTATATTAATAAATGTTATGATGCCCCTGGAATAGTCATTGATTCTCTCCTCTTAGCATTACTTACTTACTCTTTGCCACAGAGTTTCCACATTCCTGCCACCTAATCTCTTCTTCTTACCCCAGTTAGATAACTACCGTCTCATGTATGAAAACACATACTCATATAAATATGTATTTTTGGATGCATCTGTATCTAGTGGTATGCACTATATGAATGAGGATGAAAATGACTTTAAATCTCTATATGGCAGTGGTCAATCAATAAAACTCCAACAGGAATTAGGTCACCTTAAATTCAGTCCCCTTTCCTTTCTCGACTCCATTTATATACCCTGTCAGTGCTTCACATAATGGATGGCACTGCCTGGAAAGATTTTAGTACTTTTTTATTCTTCAGGGACAGAACACTATATTTCTCTTCCTCCTTCAATGATGGCTTTTCCCCAGCCACATTCAGGAACAATCTCTTTGTCATTGAAATGTTGCCTAAGAGAGTGGTTCCAGGCCAATTGGAGAAGAAATAACATAGATTATTCTAAAATAGCAGATTCCTGACATTTTTGGCTAGAGGTGATTTTATGCATTTTGTACAATTCATACAGCATACTAGCTTTGAAGATCTCTCTCAAAAACAATTTCTTTACACCCCCAAATTGTAATGCAGCGGGACTTAGGTTTGACTTAATGGTAATTTCAGGCCAATTTACTCAGTCCGTCAGGCATTGTTTCTCTCCATGTTTCTTCTTTCTTTAGAAAGTGCACATTCTCTAAAATTGCAAATTATTCATGTTCTACCACTTCTACAGGTATGACCTTGGGCAAATCTCTTAATTTCTCCAAGCCTTGGTTTCTTCATCTGGTGTTAAAGTGGGGATAATAATTGTGCCAGCTTTGTCAGATATGTTGAAGAGGAAATGAATAGAAATATGTTACGTGCTTTGTATATTGCTAGGCACATGGCTAATCCTCTATAAATTGGGTAATTTTTATTATAATAATCATACTTTTATTAATAACTAGTTCATGTTCAATTACTGTTTTCCCTGTGGGCATGTGTTGTTCAGCTCTGTGGTAAACTAGTCAGTGCACCTGGGGAATCACGCAGCTTGGTTTGAAGCTTGGTCTGTGGTACAGAAATGTAATGCTCTCTTCCTGCAGTGCATTCCAGCTCCCTTCTATGTTTCTTTACCAAGCAGCCCTTCTGGAAACTTTCATCATTTTAACTCAGTTAAATCAGTTTGTTCAAAGGGCACCCCCTGAAAAATCTTGGAGTTTCATGGCCAGTATAAGGAAATTTGGAATGCAGTCACATTTGTCTGGGATATTGCTTTTCTTTTTAAAACTGAAGCCATTGCTCCTATTGTCTATACAGTCCAGTTTTTAAAGGATTGGTTAGATGATTTCTAACCTTACATTTTTCCTATATGTAAGGTAAGTATCAGTCAGGTTCTACAACCAAAACCGCTCTGTATATTTTAAACAGCAGAGGATTTCACACAGGGAATTTTTTTTACAAAATTGTGATAAGGCCCAGTGAAGCAGAAGGAGAAGGGGCTCTTCCCAAAGCCCTGGGGCTCACTCTCCAATCAATACGGTTACCTCTGCCCTGAGTTACCACTGCTCCTGAAACCACCAGAGCCACCATCAAAACAAAATGGCTTCCCCCAACCTTTAAGCCTATATGTATGCCTCCCCCTGGCAAACCTAACTGCTAATACAGTTTGGGAAGATACAGTTTTCAGCCTTCTAGTATCCATGGTTCAGGAGAGAGAATATATAAGGGTGGGTGATGGGAGTAGAGCTGAAACTAAGAAACAATGTTCTCTTAAACTTTAATGAAGATCCAGAATTCAGAGTTCATAAAAAAGCAGATTTCCTTTCCAATTAAAAAATGCTTTGGATTATCCTTGAGTCTGTTCCCCGTTTTTTTCTCACTTAACTTGCTTATCCTGGAGAGTCGTGTTGTGAGGAAATCCAATTTTTGTTTCTGGCCATTACTTTTCTTCAGAGCCACAGTCCTTATATCTAACTACAGACCAAGCTATACATCTCTATCTCTACATAGATGCCCCCCAGGCACCTCGCACCCAATCTGAAGTGAGATAAGGCACGGAAGAGGACCCTGGTGGGTCAGGCACATGGTCAGCATTCCACAAACACTAGACATTTAGTTCTTTTCTCTGCCTTCAGTATTTCACAGTCAGAATTGCTTTTCTTTTTCTACCCTTCCCTGCAGACTCTTTCCTCATCCTGTGTTTCCCCTCTTGTAGAATGTATTAGCCACAGTTATTCAAATTCAAAACCTTAGTCATCTTGAGTTTTTTTCCTTTCATACCCCATCCTGTATCTAATCCTGCTGCAAAATTTTTTCTTAATGTTTCACAGGCTCTTCCTCTCCTTTCCACCTATTCCCTATGATATATCCACCTATATATGATTATAAAAATCTCTCACATCTACTTTCCCTAATTCCAGTTTTTCCTATTGCCGGATTAACTTGCTCGTATCTGCTATCAAATCAGTCATCATTCTTCTGGTTAAGAACCTTGGAAGACTCCCCATTGGATTCAGAATAAATCTGTCTCCTTAATCTGGCATGTCCTTCACAGTTACAGATTCAACCCTTCTTCTTAGATCAGCCTTGTCCCTGTATTGTCAAGTCATTGAGTCAGGATTATTTAGCACAACATGCTGCAGACATTTCCCTCAGCCCTAAGACCCTTTCCTCAGCCTCTGTGGCCACCCTTACACATCAATGGAGATTTTCCATCTTATGTGTTGTTTTCTTGATTTCTTCCTAATTCGAATGAGTCATTCCTAAACTTCCACTGCATTTTGTATTTCTTCTATTACAGAAATTCTCGGGGTCTGTTCTATATTATTCATACAGTTCCTTTATCCTTGAACTTCGAGATCCTGAAGGGCAAAGTCTGTTAATTTCTGTTATACCATCTCTCCCACCATCACCATTAGACTTTGCCACAGTGCTTGACACTTAATAGCTGCTCAATAAAGGTTTGTTGAATTCAGTTGTGAGTGTAAAAACAAATACACCAGTTTTACTAATAGTAAGATGTAAAGGGTCACAAATCTAGGGGGACTGGAAAGGTTGAAAATTTAGAGAAGCACCCCTAGGTAAAACATACTGATTTTTTTTCCATGCTTTTGACAATATTCTTAGACTTTATCGTGAAACTTTGTGTCTGACACACTGTACCAAGTTCTGTAAGTCTGTAGCCCAAAAGGCCTTGTGATCTATTTGGTTTTATGTTCACATACATAAATTAAATGTCATTACCTTGTCTTAATTTAGTGCCCTGTACCCCCTCTTGATCTAATCGAGATGACTTACCTATTTTATGACAAACACTGCTCACACAAGCTAAGAACCACTGATTGCTTAGTCTTGATTTTTTTTCCTCATGCTCAAAACTCCCTCTTCCACCCAATAGACTCTTTATTTACTAACCTGTTTTGAGATTTTACCATGTTCCAAAAAGTACACTGAAAATTTTATGAATTCTTTTCTATAAAGAATTAAGTGGGTACACCCCCATTTCCTTAGATGAAAAAGTGGGTACATCCCCATTTCCTTAGATAAAAAAAGCTGAGGGTCAGAGAGGCTAATGGATTTGTTGCCTAGTCGTACAGTTGTTTGAAGAAACATTGGTACCCTTCAAGTATTTCTACCATCCTGTATTGTTATTACGAAGACACACTGGTCGATACAAAGTAGAGGGTTTTTACTGTAACTTTGTGAGGAAAATGCAGTTGAAATGTCTAATGATAGCTTTGCAAATTAACATGTATGTAAGCACATGTTTAACTAAGAAATACACATTTAATTAGGTTTTATGCATTCATTTTTACTGAGTGTTAAGTACTTTGAGAACTTTGAAGGATATCATATCTTCCATTGAATTAGAAAACCTGTAGAGAAAAAAGTTCACAACGACTTGTAAATGGTCTGGATTACGTGATGACTATCCTTAGTGTTGTGGGGATTCAGAGAAGAGGAAGATTCTGTGAGGACTGAGCTGGGAGGGAGGAGGGTTCTTCTCAAGTTCAGCACTTCAATTCTTCTTTAGTTTGGATAAGGGGAGTTCGTGGTGTGTCTAGCTAAGGAAGAAACACAAGCAGGAGCAGGTGGTTGGAGAGGGTGAAAGAGAAGCTGAAACAGGGACCGGTCAGGGATGAAAGTCCATGCGGAGAACTATGTCAAGTAGGTTGTAAGGAACATAATGCAGAGAGTAATAAAATTCAAAAAGGAAAGTTAAATTTGCAATAGAAAAGAATATGGAACCATTCAAGATTTTAAAGCATGTGAGAGACTGAACTAAGGAAACTAAGAAATTTTAATTTGTATTTAAAAAATAACACATTATATGCACTATTGTGCACTTAGCTACCTACACTATTTCAGCATCATATGTACTTTGAAAGCTTATCTTGTCTTAACTTTTGAACAATGCAAGCATGTTTTTAAAAGGAATGCCAAGGGGCATCTGGGTGGCTCGGTCGGTTAAACGTCGGACTTCAGCTCAAGTCATGATCTCACAGTCCATGAGTTCAAGCCCCACATCAGGCACTGTGCTGACAGCTCAGAGCCTGGAGCCTGCTTCGAATTCTGTGTCTCCCTCTCTGTCTGCCCCTCCCCTATTTGCACTCTGTCTCTCACTCAAAAGTAAATAAATAAATAAATAAATAATAAAATAATAAAATAAAAACATAAAAAAATTTTTTAAAGGAATGCCAAAAGTATACCAAAGGTGTCAATTTTCTGAAGTTCATTCAGTATTTTAACACATTTTAACCTATTTGCATGGTTCAAAAGTCAATGTTAAGTGAAACATTTGTTACAAAGATACTGGATGTGAATAGACAATGCATTATGAGAGAATGCTAAACGGGAAAAAAATCATCAGGCTTATGTATGTGTGTTTTATTTCTTAAAATATACTCTGGAGATCTTTCCATATCAGAGCACAGAGGTCAGCCTCATTTCTTTTTTTGTAGCCATGTAGCATCCCATTGTGTAACCATGAAGGTGGCCTCATCTGAGTGTGGGTGTTCCGTGTTCTAGGGCCCCAGAGTGTCCTCAGTGGGGGTTGTATAGTTCTGCACTCACATCAGTGGTTATCTGTCTTCTATTGTTTGTCCACCTGAGGATGCTCTTAAACTTTTAGGGTTTTGTTGGCATCATAGGTGCAAAATAGTCATTCAAGGTGGTTTTCATTCAAGGTAATTTTTTTACCATGTGATTTCAGAGTTAAGTAAGAATTAAAAGAAAGATGCAGCTATTGGCTGAAACAATAACATCAAGAGAAAAATCTGATTAGAGGGGAAATCTTATAAGTTAAGCCTCTAACTTGTTGCAATTAAGGACAATGAGAGATGCCAAAGAGAATGGCGGTTCTAGAGAAATGACAGGGCCACTGAAGAGGCGGTTTGGAAGTAATCATATCATCAGGACTAGATTTAAGCTGTTTTCTCATAAAAATGCAGGCAGTTTGATATGAACCAGGCTTATGATAACCATCACTAAAATTTACTTTTGTTACAGTGCTTTCATATTTTTGTTCATCAAAAGTGAAATACCAAGCAGTACGAGTTCTGTGGACACCACACCATTAATGACAGAGCATGTGAGTAGAATATGAAAAACCATATGATTTGAAACATAAAATTAAGGTAAAAAGAAAATGCATAGATTTGAAACACAGATGGGAAAGTAGTTCTTTTTTTCCTTCATCCGGGCTGTCTAAAATATGTTTTCATATTACATATTTATTATAGTTAGGTCTAGGTAGCAATCCATCAAGATTGCCACAGGAAAGCTTTTCACCAATCACAGAGACCTACTTCTATCTGTTATTGGTAGATCCCAACTGGGAGATGTATAAACAAGCCCATATTTTGGAATGGCTTAAGGATTTCTGTAATAAGAAGACCCTAAAGGCTGAAGAAGAATGTGAAAGTTACTTTAGTAAGAGAGAGGAAGGAGGTCTGAAAGTAAGGCCCTGAGAGAGTAGTGGGAAATAGATCAAAGGCAGCCAGTGAAAGGATAAATCAAGTCATAGGGAAGTTGGAGTAGGACTTGATTTTCTTCCTTTTTCTCTTTTCGCCACATCCTTTTCCACTCAAAGATAAAGACAATAAATATGTAACAAATCACTGGTTGAGTTTGAAGAACCTAAATGAGTCTGGAGTAGCAAATCTAGGTTAAATAGGGGCAACATTTATAAGAGATCTGACAGAAGACAGGTGCCAGTGACCACATACACAGAAATGACTTCAGGGCGAACCCCCATTGCCATGAGCCCAGACTCTAGTCCTTTCTATTTCAAGTATCTCTCCTAGCTGCCATGGCTCCATTGCTATCCAGATGCCCTCTGAAACTGGAATCCCACGCCCCCACTGACGTACTGCCTCCCTGAGGGTGCTCCCTGTACTCCTTACTTGAAAATTAACATTTTCTTCTCTCTTCCCTCTTCCCCTATCAAAACCCTCATCAAATAAGGTGACTGAACCCTTAGTTAGGTTGGAAAAGTTAACTAATAATTAGCTGAAGTATAAGGGAAAGAGATTTGCTAACCCACAGACATCTCTATTCTGGAAAATGTCACAGAGAGAAGGGACAAATTGGGACTGAGTGAAGGAGCATTCCCATGTTTCTTGCCTACCCTATGGATTCGGATACCTCCTGAATCTTCAAACCACTCTTCAAGCCAAGGGAGAGAACGAGAAAAGAAATGCCACCTGGTACAAGATAAATTGTAGGCTAACTGCCTTAGATTTTCCTAAGCAAGATGGAGGGATATGAGCAAACCAAGTGTAAAGATACATAAGCAGCATGATTGGGTATTACACAGCCATACATTATGAACTCCTCATCACAAAAGAAAGCAGTATTGCCAAAGGAAAACTTGACTTAACACACGACAAAGAATTCAAATCTTACTTCTTATCTCTTACAAGAGCAGTAAGAGTATTACATCAGGTAAACTTTAGCCAAAAGGCAAAGATGATCATATTCAATATTATAAATATTATAAATTTGCCTATAATTTTTATTGACTCAGAATATTAACCTAATCATGAAACATGGCTGGACATGTTTTATTAAGTAATTCAGTTAAAAAAACAAAAACAAAAACAAAAACTGCCTATCAATCTTAGGTATTCCATAGAAGAGTCTGAGTTTTCCTTGGTTCTAATTTTTTTAACAGATTACTAAAATATGCAAAAGAAACACAAGCATTGTTAACTTCTGTTGCTTTTGATAGGTGTATCAAAGTAGCCATGTATTAAACTGAAAAAATTTAAACAGAGAAGTTGCCAACCGCCAAACCATTCTGAATGAAAGAGGAACAAAATCAGAAACATTTGAGTCTGGAGATATCCACAGAATCAGAATGCATAATGTCAATTGTTCATATTTTAAAGTATGTTTGGGAAAGAAGAGAAAAACACTGAAAATCTTTTTGTCACCAATGTGATTATCAAGGAGTGCTGTTTTTGTTTTGGTTCATGCCAATATTTTCAATAGGTGATCAACAAAATTCAAGATCCCTGTCGTGACTATTCCTGGGTGGATAAACTCTCTACACTGCAACAGCGCATAGTGTAAGAAGAGGTTCCGTTATTCTCTTTCATATTTGGGTAAAGCAAGGGTTACTGGAGTGAAGTGATACTCATCTGAGTTCAAGAAGAAAATGGTAACATAAGCTCTGACTCCTGTAGTTTGATGGTGGAGAGACCTTCGTGTCCTCTGCTGAGTTTTTAGGTACAGAGGTCCTTGATCTCAGTGTTTCATGGAATTCTTAAGCTAGTGCAGTATCTCTGGCCAATAAGAAGCTGACTAAAGCAATCTCATTTTGCAACAATTTTGTGCCTAAAGTAAAAGAGGTAATATAGGCCACAGCACAGAGTGACCGATATGCTCTCAGCAATCACAGTCGAATTAGGCAATACACTTCTCTAATACTGCACTGCCCAGGAGGCCTGCCGTCCGCTGGAAGTCCCTACACTCACGTGCTAGATGATTTTATAATCTCAAGATATTCATTTTCAAATATAGTAGTATACTCTGGGTCCATGTATTTCTACCCCCCACTATCATAAAGACTGAGAGAGTTTGGCTTACCATCAGCCCCTGTGTTTTAGAGTTCCTTGTGGGACGTTTTTGGATTTGCAGAGAAATGTGAAAATGTGTAAGCATATAGCTTGCGATTTACAGTCAATGACTGTTTTGGACCTTCTGCGGTGACACACATAAGCACTTGAAGAATATAAAGCATTTCCTCTGTTAGTATGTACACTATTCTCACAGTGGGAAAGAGGCAGTGCCTGGTGCATAACAAATGCTCAATGAATGTTTAAATCAATTGAGTGAATGAAAGAATGAGCTCACAAATAAGCTTTGGAAGATGAACATGTTGCTGTTTTTGCTTCAAAGTAAAACCGGTCTCTCAAAAAAACCACATTTTTTCACAAAGTTTCTCCCTTCTTAAGGGATTGTTAAGAAAACCATTTTTAATGTATATTTATTTTTTAATTCTCAAGTTAGTTAACATACAGTGTAGTCTTGGCTTAAGGAGTTGAACCCAGTGATTCACACCCAGTGCTCCTTCCAATAAGTGCCCTCCTTAATGCCCGTCACCATTTAGCCCCCCACCCCCATCAACCCTCAGTTTGTTCTCTATATTTAAGAGTCTCTCATGGTTTGCCTCTCTCTCTGTTTTTCCTTCCCTTCCCCTATGATCATCTGCTAAATTTCCCAAATTCTACATATGAGTGAAATCATGTGATACCTGTCTTTCTCTGACCATTTTTGATTGTCTCATGATTGGCTAGACCTGATCTATTAGTCCAGTCTGTGCCTGGGATACCCCTTTCAGGACTATGTGCTCCAGGCTTCACCAGGACACAGGGATTTCCAGTGTGGATAGAGCTGATTGGCCCTGTGAGCTCCTATTAAAATAAACTTTAAGAATATGTTTTTAAGCTTGGAAAGAAATGAGTTTGGTTTTTGTTTGTTTGGCTTTGTTGTTTGTTTGGTTTTGGGGTTTTTTTTTGCGTAAAACTTTCCTGTTTCATGCCATTATCCTTTGTATTAACTTAAAGGGATTGTTCCGAAATATTAATCATCTCTCCTTAAGATTATTGGGAATACTTGCTTCATGTGAATAAGGCCCAAGTCTGAGGAGTCAACATGAACCCCGTGCTAAGATGAAATATTCTCTTTTTACAAAAAGTAATGTCTTATTGCAAATATCCAAATTATTTTATTAAATCAGCATTTCTTGACTGTGCCATAGTTGACTAAGGCATAGTTGACATAGGCAAGTTTGTGGATTTCCATCATTGTTTTGAACAAGCATGCATTTAGTATTTTGTCTATCCTAGCCCTGTGTTGGGTGTTATTGGTTAAAAAAGAAGCAGAGGGCATAGCATCAGTTCACAAATCGTTCATATTTAGAGAGCCAAGTTTATTATGATGGCAATCGTCCTATCTATGTAATGACAATTTACAATGATAATCCATTATAACTTCTGTAAATTGTGTACGTCCACTATTAAACAGTGGGGGACCAAAGCTTCAGTCTGTGCCCTGATGCTGCTCTGACCCTGCAGGGTATTTCTTTGACTTTTGACAGTCACAGAGCTTGAGATAGATGAGTGATTTCTGCTTAACTGCTTGTGATTTATACTCTGAAGCATGCTTTCGTTATGATTCCATTTGTGTGTTTGTCAGAAATACTGCTGTGGGCCAAGATTAGCAGTGATGTATTTGTTTTTTAAGGGGCTGCAGTCTTGCAGTGATATCTGGAATACTCTACGGGTCTACGTTTGTGCCAATCATTTATATAAAGGACCACAGCAAAAGAAATGATAGCATATACACAGGGGCAAGCCAGTATGGTAAGAGTAAAACATTATTTTACTTTATAAATAAACTCCATACCTGTTTTTCTACTTAAGAATATAAAAAGAATGTGATTACATAGTAAATCCTGGCACATAGATTTGATATTTTGCATTGTAAATGGTCACTATATATTAAAAGTAATAAAGGACTGTTTGATTATTTTCACATGATCATCAAATATAAATATAATCAACTTTAGTCAGGATTTATATCAGCTACTTGGATGTTAACACATGGTTCCTGGCTTTATAGTAAGATTTGGAGATTATTTTCCAGTTAGTTAATCTCTGGGAAAATATGTACTCTTCTCCCCTTAAAAAGAAAAAAACTGAAGTGCGGTACATATCACTTTAAAATGAAATAAAGGTCAAAGTATAGCCTCGTTAGAGGATATTGTTTTTAAAGCATAAAGTAGTGCATTGAAAAGCCCAACATAGGCTCCCAAGTTATCTCAGTTTCTAGTGATAGAATTAGTCTCTCTGGTATAAACTTAACACTATATGAAATAGCCTTGTACAGACTCATCAGGAGATGAAAGGGTGTCTACTGCAGCAGTCCTATCATTATGTTACAGCATAGTTTCCATCAATGAAATCATAAAAGAATGAGATTGTGGGTAATCAAGTTCTAAATTAGATGGTACTGAAAATGAATGTGATCTATGTTCAGATAAGGGAAAATTTGAAGGGGAAAAGTCATGAGGGAAAGACTGATAAAAAAAGCTGGTATTTGAACAATGTTAATTGAGTGGATAGAGTGAGGAAGGAAGACCGTTGTTTCTTCCTTCCTTTTTTATATTCAGCCCCATGAACACCACTCAAATCTTTTACTAAATTCTGTCTTTTTTATAAGAGTGTATACAATACTTTTGGTGTTTTTATTCTTTTCATTTGTAAAGGAAAAAAAATAAAAATAGAGTAACATAGGATAAATTAAAAGAGAAGGAGAAAAAAGAGTGAAAAAATAAAATGGAACCAGGAATGAGTCTAAACTCTGTGACACATCTGTACACTGGCTAGAAATGAACCATAAATTTGGCTCTAAGGTTTCTTACAGACACAAGGGAAATCAGATCAGTCCCACAAATCAGTGAATGCAAGATAAAAAGAACTAATTACCCAGGAGTACAGTTGTTCTTGGTCCTGGGACATAATAAACAATGTACTCAACAATCTCTTTATGTAAATAGTACAATCAATTCTTAGGGATCTATCCTATGACAATTTGAATGTAGTCTGGTAGGAATACACCTTATTCCAATTTATTCAAAAATAATCCTAGGGAGGTATAATTTTTTATTTCATTTATTTAACGAACACATAAGTAGTACGTGAACTGTGCTAGACACTGTTCCAAGCACATTACAATAATAACTCAGTTGACCCTCATAGCAACCTTTGGGTTAGATGCCATTATTATCCTTGTTTTACAGTTAAGAAAACTAAGAGAAAGATTAGGTAATTTGTCTGAGTCTCAAAGTTAGCAAGTAGTGGATTGAAGATCCCACCCAGGTGGTCTGTGCTTTTAAAAACTGTGTTATGTTGCCTCTTGTGGTGGTCCATAGATGTGTTGATCCAGAAGTAGGGTCTAAGATTTTAGAAGAATAGACAAACTCTTTGATGTTCAAGCTTTTCTCCTTAAACATGGCCGCTCATCTTTGTCAAGATTTTAGTTGAGAGGAACATCCAAAGTGGGCTTCCCAGCCAATAAGTTATAGTACACCCGTCTGTATGACTAGAGTACAACCTAATCAAACAATCAGTGGAACTGCAGTTTCTCAGATATTGGGCCACCATAATGTAATGAGATTTATAATAAACAATTGAATAAAACTCTCTTTGGGATAACTTCCTGAATATCCTTCCATATAACATCATCTGCAACAGAGATGCTTGTCTCCAAATTGGTCACCATATAAAACTAGCACTCCCGTAATTTTTTCACACACACCCCCCAAATACAGTCTACCTGGAGATTTGTTATAGCCATTGATAAAAATTAAGTCTGAATACTATTCTTTTTTTAATGTTTATTTATTTTAAAAGAGACAGAAAGAGAGCACGTGTGTGAGCAGGGGAGGGGCAGAGAGACAGGGAGAGAGAGAATCCCAAGCAGGCTCCGCACTCTCAACATAGAGCCCAACGCAGGGCTCAGTCTCATGTACCATGAGGTCATGATGGGAGCCAAAATCAAGAGTCAGATGCTTAACAGACTGAGCCACCTAGGCACCCCAGTCTGAATACAATTCTTAAAAAGAAGATCGTATTCACATAATGTTTATAGTTTCTTATTTATCTTTCCAAGATAATCATAAAAAAGTCTTTTAGACTTGATTATAATAACTAATTGACCACTTCGTATTTCTAAGTTTTAAATATGTTAATTTAATTCCATATAAACAGCATGTAGAAAACTAGGATAATAAAATATAATTAATGACTGTTTACTTTTAAGGTTAATTTTGGTGGATTTGTTTTATTATTAGAACCTTAAATATATTTGAAATGAATGACACATTTGAGAGTTTTATAATATGTATTTTCAGATTTAGACTATGTTTTTGCACACTTCAGCGGCATCTTTCTTACAAGTACAGTCTACTTTTTCGCCTACTGTATAGCCATGAAAAATAACCCTAAGCTATATCCTGAAGCAGTCTTGCCAGGTAAGAATATTTACTATAAAAAATCTTACTCTGTGAGAGTACACTCACTTAGTTTGATTAATTGTCGTCTGGAAACCAAGCCATCCTGTGTGTGTCTGTGTATATGTTCATTCCCTAATTGCTTTGACCCAACTCACAACTAACTATGAAGGATTTAAAAGCCATGAAACTGGATATGAAATACTAGTCATCACAGAACCTGAAACTTGAGCAGTGAATCTAAGATCCACTGGTTTCCTACACCAGAATATCTTGTAAATTGACCATCAGACTTTATTATTTCTTCTTCATTACCTCAGGATGTTTATTAAAAGTCAGAGTCCTATGACTATTTTTTTAAAGTGTCAACAAATAGAAATTTGTAGTCACTTAGGTCAACAAACATTTTCTCTGAAAAATAATAAGAAGCAGTTTTAGAGTTTGAAAAAAGCATATGTTGAATGCGCATGCTTTGGGCTTAATCCATTCGGCATTGGTAGTAAAAAATACACATAATGTCTCACTTATTTCAGAGTTTGCCATAATGCAATTTGGGACATAAGTCCACAAGCAAAATTTTTTTAAGAACAAAATAAAACATATGTCAGAGATTCATTTTGAATACCTGATTCAGTAAAGTCAATGTGTGCTGCTATACCATTATAAAAAATGATAAGATATGTACTGAACACTTAGCTAAACTATCCTGAAATTTATATCTGGTATTTTCTTTCAAATTCTAAGAGGCTTTTTTTTTCACCCTTAGCTCTAAGCATCTTTATGTTTATAGTTTAGTATAAATGGTGTTCACAGAGCATGCTCAGATCCAGTATCGTCCCTTGGTCCTTCTCCACTACCCAATCTTTACCTCAACCACAACATTGGGTATTTTATTTAATGTCAAGAAAGTGAAAAAATTGATAATTATACCCACAGCCATCAAGAGCAAAAAAAAAAAAATGACTTGGTTTCCAAAATTATCGTAAAACACAGCTCAAAAATCCATGTTGGCCGACAATGTCAATGGGAATGCGTTGATATGAGCAACTTAATATTCCTGCTGTATCTAGAGCATGGATTTTTCAGGAGAGGAACGTGGCTTGTAAGTGTGCACTGTTTGTGTGTGTTTCAGGTTTCCTGTCAGGAGCTCTTTGGGCAATAGCTACCTGCTGTTGGTTCATAGCTAACCACTCTCTCAGTGCTGTGGTCAGTTTTCCAATAATCACTGCTGTAAGTAGCTAACTCGTCTTTCCCCAGTTTTGTTTTTTAAAGGTAAATCTGATTTTTCTGAAGCAACCCTAGTGAATCACTGAGGCCTGTCATGGAGTTTGATTTTTTTAAGAGTACGATGTGTATAATAGTTTCATGTGGATTCACCAGCAGCCTCTGGTCTCACGTCCTTGACCACTAAGGGAACATTGCTAACCTCATTTTAGCAGGTTTATTAATCGTTGATATCCTTGCAGTTTTTGTCTGGTCATTTTACCTAATGCTATTTTGGATACATTGTAATTTGCTGTTTATAACAATATTTATCTCTAGATGACAGTTTATAAATTAAAAATGCTCTTGCGTATATTCTGGCACTTGAAGCTCATGAAAACCTTGTGAGACAGAAAGTACTTCAGACTCCTCATGTGGAACTTCATCTGGTACTTTTTAAAGAAGGCTTTCAGGAAGTGCTAAAGCAAACTACTGTCTCTGGATGAGTTATATGATTAAACATCAAGTTTTGCGCTGTGCTTACGAAAGGGAGTTAATGGGGTAGCTAATTCTTTTTAACATATTATTTCCTCAGAAGAGACCATTTATTTTCTGGCACTAAATTCTTAATAGAATGTATCACATGGGGCCTTTTACAGAGGACACTGTGTAACAATAAGTAATATTCCTCAAACAAATTTACAGTAGACAGAGATTTGGTTTTTCTATCACTCTTTCTTGTATTAAATTATGGTAAAGACTTAGGACAAAACATTAAAGCCTAATTCAGTGGAAATAAATTGCTGAGGTAGGTGAGGTATGGGCAGATGGTCGGTGGGAGTAATCACTGTGGCTTTTGGAGACTTGCCTGTCTGAAGGACTGTTCTCGAATCACTGTGATATAAGCAAAGTCTTCTCACCCACCAGGTGGAGCTTCCTCTGGTGCCTGGGGTTTGTTACCTGGGGAAAACAGGTGTTCCTGGGAGTTGAGGGAATTGAGCAACATTACTACTAGGTTCTTGTTTGGTTTCACTTTCATTACTCTAGCCAAAAACAACCTTTTCCACATGCAGACAAGATTCAGTCTTTTCCTCAAGGATCTCATATTTTTCTTTATTTCATTACTTGGGAGAACTAGATTTTTTTTACGTTAACTTTTTTTAGTGGAAAATTTCAAACATACCCATTACCCAGCTTCAACAATAATAAATATGATCAATTTTATTTTATCAAAAGAGCACTTTTTTTTTTTAATTCCGGAAGCACTGTTCTTCCCAGGTATGTATATTTCCACTGTTATGTACTCACCGGTAACTAGATTGTGAGTTTCTTGAAAGCAGCCTCTATGTTATTTATTAGCAAATGATAATTAAAAAGGAAAGAGGGAAGGAAGGAAGGAAGGAAGGAAGGAAGGAAGGAAGGAAGGAGAGAGGGAGGAAGGGAGGGAGGGAGGAAAGAAGGAAAGGAGGGAGGAAGAAAGGAAAAGAGAGAGGGAGGTGGGAGGGAAGAAAACAGAAGAAAAAAACCCATGTAGCAGGAGCAAGCTTGTTCCCTCTGGTCTAAATTTTCTCTGATAAATCTAAAAGCTGAATCAGTTTATTCAGAAGCTCAGCTTCTGAAGATAGCTCAAGCTCACCTCATTTTCAAAGGCTGATTTACAAATGTGCAATTTATATTCATTTTATGGAAGGAAAATATGCAATCCCAATTGCCAAAAAATTAGCTATATTTCTTATCCAAAACTCCTTCCTACCTGGCTCTCCTCTGCCTGAATCAGACAGGATTCCACACTTTGAACTGTGCTTGCATTACGTTTAGCAAAGCACCATTCCTATAACCACATCACTCCCTACAATAACCCTTAGACCACGTCTAAACTAATATTTAGGAAATCATCACCCAAAAAGCCTCAAAGGGCAATGATACCTTTTGGCATTATCTTCTATTATGTTCTCTGAATGGATATAAATTTTCAGATTAGAGAGGATAAAATTCTTGAGCGATTGGCACGATAACATTAATATTATATCCCCCATTCTATTGTTTCCTCTTATCCTGTCCCAAGTCAGTGTGGAATTGCCTGAAGGACGCAGATGCTTCTTGTTTGATTTGGATTTTGAGGCTTAGGACCTTACGTCACTGATAAAAGACAGTTCCTTTGACCTAGTTCTCTGGCTCTTTTGATGTTGAACCTTCCAGATGCTGATAAACAGAGTAAAGTATTTTTATTGCTTCGCTTACATACCGGGAGTAGAGTCCAACTTTGCTGACCCAGCCGTGTAGATGGTTGGAGTAGTGGAAGGGGAAAAACATGTTGGAATTGTTTATGTGAAACTCTTCCAGAGTTTGTGCAGAGCTTGAAAAGGAATCCTAAAAATGCTGATACAATACACCTTCTCCACAAAGACCAAATTCCAATTTTTTTTTCCTTCACAGCTATAAAAAGTTAATAAACTTTAATAGCTAAAAGTTTCAAACTGCAGTATCATCCTTTCTACCTTACTTCTTCTCATTTCCTTTTCCTATATTATTTTATTCCTGTCTGAATAAACCTATTGCTATTTATCTTTACATGGCTTTTGTATCTTTCCATAATACTGTCATTAGCATTCGTTGGGATTTAATGTTAGACATAGTTCATCACCGTGCAACAGTATCAGTTTAAGAATTTTTTAAAAAAATTTTTTTAACGTTTATTTATTTTTGAGAGAAAGAGAGCATGGGTGGAGAGGGACAGAGAGAAAGGGAGACACAGAATTGGAAGCAGGCTCCAGGCTCTGAGCTGTCAGCACAGAGCCCAACGCAGGGCTTGAACTCACGAACCGTGAGACCATGACCTGAGCTGAAGTCGGATGCTCAACCGACTGAGCCACCCAGGCACCACAAGAAATTTTTTAAAGTACATTATTGGCTGGGTCTCAGAGAACATACTACAGTTTCTTCAATTATGAGATTGCCTCATTCCCAAAAAAGTTATCAGTTGTTCCTACGCTTACTTCTATTAATCTTATTTCTATTGTCCTAAGTTTGTTAGAAAAACATAAACTATTTGTTTATTAAAATATTATAAGTAGATAACATTAAAGAAAAGTATTAGATGGCACAAAATATTACAGCATCATCAATATAATAAATATGAAAATCATAAAGAAACAAAAAAATCTTTATTTTTTACCTAATGCTACCTTGGTTAATGTTGAATTAGAGCTAAGATTATGAATAGTTTAAGCTGACAATATTGTTGTTTTCATGGCAAAAAGTTACTCAAAGCATAAGGTCATCTCTCCAATTTACTGTATGTAGAGTACACGTCACAGAAAAATAACTAATCTAATTAGAACTTTTCTTTTTATTTAAGGGTCCAGGATTTATAGCTGCAATGTGGGGTGTCTTCAAGTTTAAGGAAATACAGGTATGTACAAGAAAGGGCAGCTTTAGAAAACAGGGGTAGGTCCAGGTAAGAAAGGTATTTAATACTATGTTTCTGTTATTTTTCTGAAAACTGTATGCGACTCCTAAGCCCAGGGCAGAAAACACACGAAAGGATTTAACAAGTGAAGATGTTCAAAATGTTATCATCCCTAACAAGGAAAGAAAATACTAAAGCTGTGATAATTATTATGAAACATATTTCTCTCCACCCCAGCCCCCAGTCCAAAAATGCTTTAGTTGACTTTATTTTCCTTTAAGAAATTTTGGTTAAATAACCAATAAAATATGATGAGAAGGAAATTTTACTTAATGTAAAATCTGGCAGATAAACAAGACGAAAGATTTTTTTATCCTAAGATTAAAATATCCCTGAGGCAAATGGACCTTGGGAATAGATTTTTCTGTTGGTTCTCATGTCTCTCAAAGGCTCCATAGCAAACCAGCAACTTTATAAGAAAATGGTGGGGTAGCAAGGGACTATTACCACTTCTCTTTCAAGTGTAAATGATGGTGATTTAAAATTGCATTTATTGGGGCGCCTGGGTGGCGCAGTCGGTTAAGCGTCCGACTTCAGCCAGGTCACGATCTCGCGGTCCGGGAGTTCGAGCCCCGCGTCGGGCTCTGGGCTGATGGCTCAGAGCCTGGAGCCTGTTTCCGATTCTGTGTCTCCCTCTCTCTCTGCCCCTCCCCCGTTCATGCTCTCTCTCTGTCCCCAAAAAAATAAATAAACGTTGAAAAAAAAATTTTTTTTAAATAAAATAAAATTGCATTTATTAAATACTTCTAGGATGTGTGTGTGTGTTGTTTGCATTAAAAATTGTTGTAGGAGCACCTGGTTGACTTAGTCAGTGGAGCATGTGACTCTTGATTTTGTACTTATGAATTCAAGCCCCATGTTGGGTGTAGAGAATCCTTAAAAATAAAATCTTAAAAAAATACTTTTTAATTGTTTTCAGAATTTTTCCCATTTACCTTAATTTGAGGAACATATGTGAATAGTATTTTTGTAATAGCTTTTACTAAAAAATATTTATACAAATTAGAGACACTCTGTCAAGGCATCATAGACGTAATATTTTCTATCTTAATCTGCAGCTATAATAACAAATAATTTCTGGTTCTAAGACAATCTGATGTCACTAATATCTGGGAACCAAAAGGCAATCCATCTACCTGGGTGATCCTTAAAATGATTGATTATTCAATATTAGATATAAAATATCATTTCCTGTATTTTAAATGAAATGTTTTGATTTAGAAAACCATAATTTGACAGTACAAGATTCTCAAATTTAAAAAATAATAAATTTGTTTGGAATATATGCACCAATATCTTATTTTTTTTAATGCATAAGACAACTTAAAACATTTATAGAGCCATAAATTACTTTCATACACATTTCTCATTTATTTTAGTTAGGGTTGCTTTCCACAAAAAGTAGTTCTATGTCCAAAACATGTCATAATCTCTTTGCAAGTATTTCCTCTGCCCCAATCAGGGTAATGATTTCTATTTATTTATTTTTAATTTTTTTTAATTTTGTAAAACATTTTTATTCATTTTTGAGAGATAGAGACAGAGCATGAGCGGGGAAGGGGCAGAGAGAGGGAGACACAGAATCTGAAGACAGACTCCAGTCTCTGAGCTGTCAGCACAGAGCCAGACGCGGGGCTCAAACTCACGAACTATGATGTCATGACCTGAGCCGAAGTCGGACACTCAACCGACTGAGCCACCCAGGTACCCCATGATTTCTACTTAAAAATTGGGTGTTTATTATCTAGTATAACATACTGAAGCCTTAGAAAAATCACAAGTGAGCATAGCTTATTTGCAGTTATAGTTAAAAAGAAGCACAAACCAAAAATAAAATTAAAATAAAGGATTTGGAAATTACCTTAGTTACTACTGCAGTAATAATGTAACTGAATCAAAAATCTTCTTTTCTAGTTACAAGAACCTCTTGGGAGAGAGAAACCCTAACCATTGAGCCTACTGTTAATTCTTTAGTCCTCTAAAAAGAACTAAAAGACATTCAAAGAAAGCTTTTTTTGTTGCTTATGGACACCTTTAAAAAGACAGCTCAGACCAAATTTTTAATGAAAAGCCATGGCCAAGTAGGGCTTAACTTTGGAGTGCAAGGATAGTTTATAATGTGCAAATTAATCACTGTAATATAATGTGAGATAAACAGAGAAAAGCTGTGATAATATTTTTTCAAAAGGCATGTGCTAGAATTAAAAATCAGGTTTTAATTAAGAAAAAAAAAACCCTTCAAAATGTTCAAATAGGAGAAAGCTGTCTGTCAAAAAACAATAGCAAACAAATAGCTAAGGTGAAACAAAAGTTCTCTCTCAATTACACCGCAATCAAGCTGAAAACAAAAGGTCTTCTCTTTAAGTTGGAAGTCAAAAGATTTCTCCATTATTGTTGTTATTCAATATTTTCTGGAGATCCTAGCCAGTGTGATAAAATAAAATTAAGAAAGAGGCAACATAGATGTAGGAAAGAAAATGAGAAAATTGTCATTTGCATGTAACATTATCTTCGTTAAAAATTCAAGCCAGTCAGCTGAAAATCTTGAGATCCAATAAGATTATTTGGTAACGTGCTGAAATATAGGATAAATATAAAATCAATAGCTTTCTAATACCAATAACTGATTAAAAAGTGGAAAATGAATATTATTGAAAACTATAGAAATTATTAAAAGATAAGAAAATAATAAGCAAGAAACATGCTAGATTTATAAAACCACTCAATTTCCCACAAAAACTTCCTACAAAACATAATATCAGAACAAATGGGGAAGCTCACAGTTATTTCCAATTCACATTCAGTGTAATTTCTACAAAATTCCAACGCAATTGTCTCTGGAATTTTGAGAGTGAGTTTGGCCAAGTATGTATGTAAAAATAAAGAGAGAGAGGGCCAAGATGAAAGCAGAGAGTGACTTTTATTGACCTTCTGGGAATTAAAAAAAAAAAAAAAAGAAGAAGAACTTACAAATCTGTCTACAAACAAAATTTAAGAAGTATCCAGTGAGGCTTATCATTCAATGCAGGTGCCTAACTGCTTCTTAATGGGTGGCTTAAAGGCAAGTTTTAAATACTTTACATGCCACCAAGTTTAAGAAAGAGCTGTCAACTGAACACTGACACCAAAATCCTATCAGAATTTTTAAACATTATTCTTCTTAGAAACAAGATAAAACCCTAGAGGAAAACAAAAGCAACACAATTATGTCTCGAAGCAGTACTCAAAGACACATATTGGAAAGTCTACAACCTGCAGGAGTAAGAACTTAATCTGAGATCCAAGTACTTTTTGTGCTAAAGGGTTTAATGATTTCATTTAATCTTAATGCCATAGGGCACCAGTTGGATATTTTCCACTTCCAGTGTTCTTTTATATCTGCTATCTGTTCCTCTTTGGGAAGTTTGTTTTGTTTGAAATTTGTTTGAATTTTATATTTAGCTATTTTAAGCTAGATATAAATTATTATTTTTAGAAACACACATTAGCCACAATGTCTACAGAAATACAGGAGATTATCACTACAACAATTTATAGGTCAGTAGCTAATCTCAGATAGAGGATGAGATGATTTGTGACCTTAGTAACTGTTTCAGAAATCCAAGTTAAAAACTTTTTGCTTTGGGGAGAATGTTAGCATGATCTTTTAAGTGCTAATATTCACCTTTGATGAAGGGAAACAATTGCTGTTGTCCAAATATAATTGGTCTTTTTCTCTAGGAGACTGGGAAGTTTGAACAGATTCTTCACCTTAAAGGGAAAAATATTTTACTCTCTGAGAACATTATTCTTCTGTCTACATAGGCAATAAAGGAGAGAGCTTAGCAAATAATCAGAGCTTAGTCCCATAATCAGGTTATAAAATGGTAATAAGTGAGGGCCCCGTATGTTGTTTTTTCTTACTTAAGTAATTCTATCAACTGTTTAATTCGCAAATGACATTTGGAAATCACCTGAGTGTATTCATTCTTTGAACAAATAGGTATTGAGTGCTTGCTCTCCACCAGTCCAGGTATCTAGGTAAAGGTTGCAGTCTTCAACACTGACAAGATATCAGGGAACCTTAAAGTCTTAGTAGGAGTGTGTGTGTGTGTGTGTGTGTGCGTTAATAAGCTCCTCTGTACTTAGCAAGGCTTTGTGGTGCTGTTTTCATTCGTGGAACTTGTATTAGAGGAACTTTGGGTAATATTCCTACTCACAGTGAATCAGAAAATTCAGCTGTCCCCAACTCAACTTACAAAGACTTCTCTCATCATCAAATACAGGTCAATTAATCCATTCTCTCCCAATTCTTTATTAGGTTGAAGAAAGAGACTATACGCTTTTTGGAATTTTGGCTATGTATTAATTAGCATTAATCCTAATAAGAGCTAATAATGATATTATATTATTTGACTGTCAGGAGATCTCAGTGCACTTTTAGACATAAAGTCTAAACATAGACAGAAAATCTACAGTTAGGGAGGTGCTTGTCCTGTTTTACTTCGTGATGTTCAAACCTTACCTTAGAGCACCAGGGTTTATATTTAATGTGGGATATAGACAGCCTGGCCAGTATTCAGATGGGAATAGCCTGGAAGCTTGAAACTATTTCATATGAAAAATGGTCAAAGGAGCTAAAATACTGATCAGGAAAAAAAATTGCTTCAGGAATATAAGACAATTATTTTTTAATGTTTCAGGGTGTATCTTGTGGGAGAGAGATTAGAATCAATCTATCTGTAACCCTGGATATAGATAGAACTTATGGTAAATAAAATATTTCTACTTGACACAGAAAGATATTTGTTAATCAGAGATGGACTGGCCACATTGGGAAGTGGTTCTCAGTGTTTCCCATCTTTAAGATCAGTGGACCTACCCATAGCTGGGCAAGGCAAACTTAGTCTCTCTGTTCCTTTCTCACCCTTCAGATCGAGCTCTATCTCTCCATCTGTACCTCGTCATCTGTCCCCAAGCAGACTCTAGTTGCCTCCTTAACGATCTCCTTGCATCCGTTCTGGACCCCTCCAATCTGTTCACCATCCGCAAATAAGTGTGGGCTTTATAAAATGTGAATCCCATCTTTTCACCATGTCCAGCTGCCTATGTCTTTGCCTTCCCATTACTTGGAAAAATAAAACCTCAAACTGTACATGACCTATGAGCCCCGTGTATGTTTGGGCCATAGCCCTCCAACCTGGTTTTTATCCACTTAACTCATTGCATGGGTCACACTGACTTTCTTTCCCTGGCAAGTATCATACTTTCTCATACAACAGAGCTTTGCACATAAAATTCCTTCTACCTGGAGTCCCTACCTGTTTCCCTGCCCAATTAATTGATACTTACAGTTAGAAGCTTAATTCTCCACCATCCAAACCAGCCTCATTGAGATTCCTTTGTAACACACCTCAGAAACAATCATGCTTGTTTACTTATTAACATTCCTCTCACTTTGTAACATTCTTTTCTGTGATTAACTTCTGCCTCCCATATTATATAATTATCTGCATAAGGGCACATTTTGCTCACCATTTTAACTCCAGCACATGTTGATGCAAAGTGGATGCCCACATGTATTTACTGAGTGGGTGAATTAGCAAGGCTCTTGTGGGTTTTCAAGAGAATCTGAATGATTGCTTGGAGGAAGAGCAAAAAGCATGCAGGTGGCTGGAGCAGAGAGTTAGCAAGGTCCCTAGCAATCTTAAGAGTCTGTGCTTTCTGCATGTTTGATTCAAATTTTCTTAATGACAGTTACATTTTTTTATTATTCAGGGTCTACAAAACTACCTATTGATGATATTTGCATTTTGCATCATCTTGACTGGAGCATTATGCACGGCTTACTCTAAAATCTAACAGGCATAAGACCAGCAGATGGCAGCAGTGGGTAAGAGAACACGACTACGGAACTCCACAAATATGCCAAGGACAGAGTTCATTTTCATACAGCAAATGGATCTCCACTTGTCTTGGACTGGGTAAATGATTTTTTTCCCCACAAATGTGAAAATAAAGAAAACTAAGTTTCAGTCAAGTGTAAAAATGAAAAAATCTGCTAATGAACTATTTATGAAGGGAAGACTTTCCTGGGTGACTACAATGTCTGCATTCTCACAGCACTAGAGTGCTCCTTTTACCACAATATGGACTCAATGGTCAAGCAACTTCTGCTTGTTGCATAAGCTACAAAACTGTGGAGTTCATATACACAAAGAATTTTGTATATGTCCAAGTTTCCAACATGTTACCCTCATTAATGAAGAGAGGAAGAAAAATGTTGGGGAGAGAAATAGAAGACCCACCTTATAATGGAATTCCAAAGATATTTAGATCCTTTGCTAGAAAAAGTAAATGTCACGGTTGGTCACTGAATGTTAAAAAGGCCATTTCATTATTTTTAGCCCAACCTTATTTTTACTTCAAATTAATATTGTGCAACTCTACATCACCCACTGGTCTTAGCTCAAAATGCTCTTGATTATCTCCAGATAAAATCCTCTTCAGAGAAGAAAAATTTCCCACCGTTGGGATTATATGTATAATACATATACAAACAAAAAGTGCACATACATAAATGCACACACATATGTATGTATGTAGGGGGAATTCTAGAGTTGCTGTAGTGAGGGTCTAGCTTATCAGAATGAGAATTTAGAGGGACCAAAATCTTCTTTGTATGTATAATTTATTATTTTTTTCTGAAATATACTTCTGTAAAATTCTCTTTAAACTGGAGACTTTCTTCCTGTTTTAACTGGTGGTTTCCATTAGGTTAAAGAAAATAATGGACATGTTATTTATACATATGTGTGTGTGTGTGTGTGTGTATTCAGAAGAGACAGAATAGCATTCTACTTAAGTGTATGCACTCTAGAGCTAACCCAAATGGGTTTAAATCTCACTTGTTCTTCATCTTAATTGTATGACTTTGAACAAGTTCCTGAGCTTCCTGTATCAGATTCCTCATCTGTAAAATGGAAAATAGTGATAATGATGATTGTTGCAAGGTTCAAGTTAATTAAAATCTGTACCATGTGTTCATGAGTGTCTGGCACTTGGCAAACGTTATATAATCCTTAGTTATTATTATTATGTGCTGTTTGAGAAAGCAAATGTGTCTGTAGATTGGGGAATATTTTGTAAGAGCTATTGCCTTCACCGCCAGCCCATCCAAACAACTACTTATTCTTCTTTATGAGTGCACTTTTAAAAATGATACTGGAGTCTCGATTTCATTGAATTATTTAATTGTCACACCTTACCAAAACTCATTTTAACTTTAACCTGAAATACCATTAATTATGTTGATAACTTTAAATGTAAATTAACATAATTGTTCTTTAGTTGAGATTGCCAATTTATATGCAAAGTTTTAAATGTGAAATTAAACAATTGCAGAAGAAAAATATTTTTTTAATCTTATTATCACTATATAGTTTCTGCTACCATACGATGCCTTTAGTGTTAGAGTAGTGTGGGGAAAAATAAGTTTTTCAAAATAATTACCATACAAAAACTCATTGTATACAGGTTAGTCTAAATAGGCAACTACTGGGGCGCCTGGGTGGCGCAGTCGGTTAAGCGTCCGACTTCAGCCAGGTCACGATCTCGCAGTCTGTGAGTTCGAGCCCCCTTCAGGCTCTGGGCTGATGGCTCAGAACCTGGAGCCTGTTTCCGATTCTGTGTCTCCCTCTCTCTCTGCCCCTCGCCCGTTCATGCTCTGTCTCTCTCTGTCCCAAAAATAAATAAACGTTAAATAGGCAACTACTGGGGAACCTGGGTGGCTCAGTTGGTTAAGCGTTCAACTCTTGATTTAGGCTCAGATTATGATCTCATGGTGGTGAGATCAGCCCCTGCTGTGGGGCTCCGTGCTGAGTGTAGAGTCTGCTTGGGATTCTCTCTGTCCCTTTTTCTCTGCCCCTCCTATGCTTGCACCCAAAATAATAAATAAACATTTAAAAATAAATAAACATTAAATTACTTAAAAATAAACATTTAAAAATAATAAAATAAACATTAAAACAAATAAATAATAAACATTAAATAATAAATAATGAAAATAATAATAAACATTAAATAATAAATATATAACCATTAAAAATAATAATAAATAAACAGGCAATTGCCAATTCTACACTTTCTTCGCTCAACTTAGGATGTTAATGTCTCTCTCCAAGTTTTGCAGCTTTATTTTTTCTTATCTAGTATGGTCAGATTGTTGTGTTTTAACTCTTTATTGCTTGGCTTTCTCTGTGTAGAGAGAAGGTACTACCTGAACTAGGGAAGTAGGAGACCAGTGAGGCTGGCATCCAGATTATTAAAATTTTTTCTTAGCAGAATAAAAACTCATAATTCCTAAAAATTCCTAATGAGTTTTATGGAGTTAATAGTACAGTATTTCTCCTGAGCTACCAAATCTACATTTGTTCCTGTTGTGCTCATTTATTTGCACTTAGAGTTGCTAACCACTAAACCTATATGTATCAATATTGGTAGAACTGAAAAACACATTGAGTTAAAAAGGCAAGTTCTAGAACCATGTGCACAGCATGATACCATTTAGGTACATTTTCAAAAATCAAAGTAATATATATTTTTTTCTATGCATGCCTATATATGCAAAAAGTTAGAAAAAATACACAAAACTCATACTAATGTTTGCTTCTAGTGAGGGTAAATGAGATCAAAATGGCAACTCTGGAGTTAATGTCAGCTTGAGCATTATCTGTAATTCTCTAATTTTTATGGCAATGAATTCATACATTGGTTCTTTAATATGTGTTAAAGAATCAACAGCAAAAGAGCTCAGAGCATGTGTCTAAATGTTAAAGTAATTAAGTCTAGATAAAGAGAATATGGATGAATGTTATGTTCCTCTTTATTTTTTTTAATGTTTTTAAATTTCAAAGAAAGCATGCACACACACATGCACACAAATAAAGAAGACAGGGTTCAAGACAAAGTTGGAAAATTACCCAACTTAAAAATCCCACCTTCTAAAGGTCGAATCCAGAAACTCACTTTTCTAGAATTCCTTGCAGTAGGATGTGACATTCCTGATTATGTAGTCTCCAAGGTCAATTTTATGGTCCTGCTGGAGATTATGTGAGCTACCTAAAACACTTGCTTCAGAAATTTACCCTCATTAAAAAAAAATAACCTCACAAATATAGCCTATTTTAATCAACTTTAACGAGGTATAGTTTGCATCCAATAAAATGCTTAAGTGGAAGTGTTATGAGCAAATATATACACTCATGTAATAACCACTACAACCTAGATACAGAACATTGCCAGCAACCCATAAAGTTCCCTTATGCCCCTTTGTAGTTAATCCCCATACCCCGGCTACCAATTTATTTTCTGTCATTCTGAATTACTTTTACCTGTTCTAAAATTTCATATAAATGGGATTATATAGTATGTACACTTTTGTGTCTGATTTCTTTTATCTTACAGCCATTTTTAATCTACTTTTATGATCTAAAACAATTATAATTCATTCTCAATTATTTTCCCTAGTGGAAAAAAGCATACATGTGTATTCAAAATAACAACTAAAACAAAAATGATTAACATTTGGAATTGTTATATTTAAGTATGTGATGTGTCTTGTTCCAGAAATTCAGTTTTAAATTAATAGTATAGTTAAGAAAAATACTCAATTACTCTTTGAATCCATCTTCAGTGTATAATGTTTATTTTTGAGGGGATGTAAAATATTAAGCTGCTTGAACTAGATCACCTACCTTTTCTACATGTTGAAAAAAAGTGTATCGTGGATTTCCTACAACTACTAAATGGATTATAATCTCCAGGGCTGGAAAGTGTGAATTTGCATTTTTACAAATACTCCTGGTGATTCTCATCATACTTGTGCTCCAAAATTTTTGAATTTGTGACTTATACTTTACTCTTTAAAAGATTTCAAAGAACTAGGTTATTAAAAAGTAAAACAAAATTCTGTCTTTCCTTCCTAAAAAGAGAGAGAAAATTTAAAGATAAGTATCCATTTAATTTTGTGCAGACTTTTAGGAGAAAAAAATAAAATGCATAAAACCAATCTGTTTAAATGGAATTATTTGGCAAAAAAAAAAAACAATGGTAATAATAAATGAGCATTATATTATTTTTCTTTTTTGGGTCAAACCACTTACCTTCCACATAAATTATCTCTGAGGTTGGTGGCCAAGTCTGTTTTCACTCAGATTCTTCAGGTTAATAATATCTTTCTCCACTAACAAAATCTCTGACATAATTCATGTTGACAAAATCCCATGAAAACAAACACACACACTCAAAAATCCCAATTTCAAAATGGAGAATTTCCAACAAGTCCTAATGAAATAAATCACTGAAATGAAGAGGAGAGGTGGATGAGAATAGTTTCTAAGATAGAAACAGTAGGCTGTAAACTAGAGCCTAACTTAAAGCATTCATATGATCTTCTGAAGAACCTTCTAAGACACTGTATTTTTTCTCTTACCAACAGGGTCTTATAAGCACTGTTTCTAATTCATTTATACCTCACATTAATAAAAGTCTATAAATCTTTCATACACACCATAAGGTTTTGATTTATAAAACTCTACTCAAGTAATTCTTTCCAACAGAGAAGGCTATATTGTCTCCCTTTCCTCCAAAAATATTTGAGAATTATATTGGCTTTATATGCATGTGATGGCTAAAATTACTGTGAACTCCTTGAGAGCAGTTGTTCTATCTTTATACCTCAAGGACTTAGCACAATGCATGGCACACAAGAAAAAAAAATAACTTTTTTGCATTGTACCCTGAAGAATATCTTTAATTTACAGTCCAAAATTTATTAGCCAATGATTCTTCTAAAACACATTCTTAGTAAATTTACTGAATCATACCTTAAATATTTAGTGAGTGGTTTCCTTGCAGCTGAGGCACAGGCTAGGCATTGAAACACATCAATAAAGCAGCCATGGAACTTAATCAGAAAATCCTAAGAAATCAGGTAAAAATCTTCGAGGGCTGTGAAGGAAAATTTGGGGGTACTTTGAGGGAATACAGTAAAGGGAACCGATCATGAAAGATAATCCTTAAAATGAATAAATAAATAAATTAATAAATTAACCAAATTAATTGCTCAGGGTGAAACCAAGAGAATTATAAGAAAGCTTTTTTATTTTGATATTTTTTTTTAAAGAGCACAGATTAGGGGCACCTGGGTGGCTCAGTCAATTAAGCATCCGTCCTGGCTCAGGTCATGATCTTGCTGTTCACAAGTTCAAGCCTCACATCTGGCTCTGTGCTGACAGCTCAAAGCCTGAAGCCTGCTTCAAATTCTGTCTCCCTCTCCCTGCCCCACCCCTGCTCGTACTCTATCGCTCTCTCAAAAATAAATAAAAACATTAATTTAAAAAAAATTTTTTAAATAAATAAAGAGCACAGATTGTATCTTGCATCTTTGCTGAACTCAGCTCTTAGCTCTAATAGGTTTCTTATGGATTTCTTAGGATTTGCTATGTGGACAGTCAGGATGTCAGCAAATAAAGAGTTTTACTTCTTATTTTTCAATCCAGGTGCCATTCATCTCTTTTCATTGCTTTGTGGGCCTGGCTATGACCTCTGCCGTATTTTGAAAAGAAGTGGTAAAATGGGACACCCTGATCTCACTTCCAATCTTAGGGGAAAAGCATTCAATCTTTCACCATTAAATATAATATAAGCTGTATGTTTTTTTCCCAGATGCTCTTTATCAGGTTGTGGAAATTACCTTCTGTTTGAAGTTTCTTGAGAGTTTTTTTTATCAAGGAATGATACTATATTTGGGGTGGGGGGGGAAATTGCATCTTTTGAGATGATCATGCTTTTTCTTTTTGTTCTGTTAATATGGTGAATTACACTGATTGATTTTCAAATATTAAACTAATTTTGCATTCCTGTGGTAGACACTACTAGGTCATGATCTGTTTATTAGCCTTTCTATATATTGCTGGATTTAATTTGTCTTTGTGTTCATGAGGGATATGTAATATCAGGGTAGTAGCTTTGAAACATTTACTAAGAATTGATACTATTCTTCCTTGAATGTT